GTTTTTTGGGTTTTTGGGGTTTTGGGGTTTTGGGTTTTTGGGGTTCTGGGGTTTTGGGTTTTTGGGGTTTTGGGGTTCTGGGGTTCTGGGGTTCTGGGGTTTTGGGGTTTTGGGGTTTTGGGGTTTTGGGGTTTTAGGGTTCTAGGGTTTTGGGATTTTTGGGCTTCTGAGTTGTTGGGTGTTTGGGTTTTGGGGTTTTTGGGTTTTTGGGTTTTGGGGTTTTGGGATTTTTGGGTTTTTGGGTTTTTGGGTTTTGGGGTTTTTGGGTTTTTAGGTTTTGGGGTTTTTGGGTTTTGGGGTTTTAGGGTTCTAGGGTTTTTGGGTTTTTGGGCTTCTGAGTTTTTGGGTGCTTGGGTTTCACCCCGGCAGCACGACCCAACCACACGCTACTCAGATTAAAGGTGCTAGCGCGAGGTTTTCTTGGCAGAGTCGGGCTCAGCTGCATCCAACCGTGGAATGTGGTGGTCGGTGGTGTTTGACAGCGACCCCTCGCTTCGTTTTCGCGTCCAGGTCTCACGATCCTCCTGTTGTGGCCATCACATCGCATCCGCATTCAGAGCTGTGAGCTCCTAACTCATACCGTCTGCTGCTTGGGGTTTAGGGCTTCTGGCTCATCCTATCCCCCCTGCACGGTCCGGCGACTACCTCCACCATGCGCAATGTATGCCCTCATACTACCTTGCTTCCTGCCGTTGGTCGTTTAGACTGCAGGTTTGAACAGCAACCTAAGGGGGAACGCACGTTTTAGTGACAGGGGCTTTGACCTGAACGGCGTTTGGGGTTGCAGGGTTTGGACTTCGGGAGGTATAGAAGGGGAGTTTAGTATCAGGGTCCTGCATCGCCTTGCAAGAGAGGGGGCCATGCCGATGCAGGGTGAAGCTGTCCCTCCGGTAGGGCTGTTGGGTCAGGGCCCCGGGCCCCCCCAGGCTGTCATCGCCACAACGGGTTGAAAGGCCCTCAAGGGTCTGGGAGGTAGGGTTGAAGGGTTTATCGCGCAACCCTAAACCCTAAACCCTAAACCCTGAACACCCTAAAAATTCCCGAAGTTCCCTCGAGATCCCTAAACTCCCTGGAAGGACCCTGCAACGCTGAAGCCTTAAAAACAGGCCATTACGACTACATCCTGTTGCCTGCTCCGCATCCTCCAGCTGCAAGACCAAGACCGGAGCCTTTGCAGTGTTTAGGATTTAGGGTTCAGGGCTTGAGTTTAGGTTGTAGGATTTAGGGTTCAGGGCTTGGGGTTTACGTTTTAGGATTTAGGGTTCAGGGGTTGGGGTTTAGGTTTCGGATTAAGGGGTCACGGCTTGGGGTCTCGGAGTTGGGGTTTGGGGTTTGGGGTTTGGGGTTTAGGGTTTAGGGTTTAGGGTTTAGGGTTTAGGGTTTAGGGTTTAGGGTTTAGGGTTTAGGGTTTAGGGTTTAGGGCAAGTTTAGGGTTTAGGATTTAGCGTTTACTCCCAGCTGGGTTTAGGGTTTGGGCTCTATGGTTTCGACCTTCAGGCTCCTGAGGCTTAGGACTTCTGCCTTGAACTCGAACTCCAAACCCCTGCCCCCCATTGAACCCTCCAACTCCTTGAGCCCTAAACCCGAAACCCGAAACCCGAAACCCTAAACCCCAAACCCTAAACCCTCAACCCCAAACCCTAAACCCCAAACCCTAAACCCTAAACCCTAAAGCCCTAAACCCTAGCCCTAAACCCTAAAGCCCCAAAGGGTCTCTGCCTGCTTCGGGATGACCGTCAGCGTCTTCCCGTCGCGCTCGACCTCACAGCGCAGAGCTTCGGAGCTTTGGGCCCCCCCAAAAACCCTTAACCCTAAACCCGAAACCCTAAACCCTAAACCCTAAACCCTAAACCCTAAACCCTAAACCCTAAACCCTAAACCCTAAACCCTGCACTTGCAGTTGAGCACGTGGCGTTCCCTGGACTTTGGGTTTGAGGATGTAAGACGTTGGGTTCTTAAGGGTATTCAAGCCCCTTCAGGCCCCTGAAATGCCCCTCAGGCCCCTAGCTCCCGGCTCGGAATTGTCATAGACAGCCTTAGGGTTTAGGGTTGAGGGTTGGGCCATTCCACCCCTGGTTCAAATGGGCTCGAAGGCTGAAAAATATGTGAGACTCCTTACTTGTGGCACACGAGGCATTTTGGCAGGCCAGGTCTTGACGGGGCGCCCTTAACAGCCCTAAGAACGGCCAAAACACCCTAAACCCTAAACCCTAAACCCTAAACCCTAAACCCTAAACCCCAAACCCTAAACCCTAAACCCTAATCCTCATGATTTGGATCATGTCTTCAGCAGTTCACCCCCAAACCCTTGGGCGCAGACCTGGGCGCCAGCAAGCGCCAGGAGGGGCCTCGGACCCGGAGGGGCACCATTTGGAGTTTCAGAGAGGTTTAGGGTTTAGGAGGGTTTAGGGTTTAGGGTTTAGGGTTTCGGGTTTCGGGTTTAGGGATTAGGGTTTAGGGTGTTAAAGGTTTAGGATTGAGGGTGTAGGGCTTGGAAATTAGTCAGTTTGGGGGTCCAGGGTTGGGGGCTTCGGGTTGACAAGGTGCGGGCGTCAATGTTGTAGAGCCTTCGAGTCCTTGAGCTTAGGGGGTGAGAACACCCAGGATACATGCCCATAGTACACCCTGAAGATGAACCCTCAAACAGCAAACCCTAAAACCCTAAACCCCCGTCCCAAAAGGAATTAAAGGACCGTACAACCTCACATGTCCATTCTTTCTGGCCTGCCAGATCGGGAGAAGGGAAGGGCGACACGCGTCGGTCGGTGTGCGCGGATGTGTTCGCACGTGCTTGCTCGTGGGGTTAACGTGCTCCGTCATCGCCTCGTTCATTTTAACCTGCGGCAAGCACCATCATGTGCACGCTTGCAAGGCAAAGGCCGTGCTGGATAGCCTCTCGAGGACTCACGCCGGCGCCATCCGGCGCCCATCCTCAGCATCCAGAACCAGTGCACCACGCTCAGTTGGACTGTAATTCCACGCATGCTCCAGTGTGGCTCGAAAAGCAGTCATTCCCGCCGACACACCGGACCCGTCTAACTTTGACCAGTGGAAGGTGACGCTTTTGACCAGGACGGTAGAGGATCCCACCATTGTCACGCATCATGGCTTCGTAGGACCGCGAGCTCTGAGCTTGCCACTCTCGCTGGCGCTTGCCTTCTCTGCTAGAAGTGGTCAAGACGGTCAAGAAGACCACGCAGGAACCATGCCTGGAACAGCTGCACGAAGGAGGACAACAAAAAACACACCTCCGTACTCCTGCACCTGCCTCTTCCACAAGCAACCCCACAAGGCGCAGTCTGAAAAAAACACACACGCGTGAAGCAAGTCCCCCTAAAAGGAGCCGAAACCTCGGCCACAGCGAGGCTTTGAGAGGGTGTTGACCCCCAGCGAGCTCGACTTCTTGTAACAGCGATGTCTCAGGTGTCTCATGCGTCGATCTTGGTGGGGCGGGGAGGTGCCAGCCAAAGCAATCACAAGAACCCCACGCAGTCATGAGGGGAAGTAAACAAGCTTCTCCTTCAAGGTTTTTGGGCTCAGACCCTGACGGGCCCAAGAATCCCAAAAAACATGTTCTTTTTTTCCGGGGATTTCGGGTTTTTAGGCTTCAGGCTTTAAGGTTCTAGGGTTCAGGGCTTAGGTTTCAGTGCTCAGGGTTTCGGGTGTTTGCCTTCCAGGCTTTAGGGTTGTTGGGCTTGTCAATGTATAGGCTCCGGTTTTCTAAGGCTTGGGCTTGTAACCCAAACCCTAAACCCTAAACCCTAACCCCTAAACCCTAAACCCTAACCCTAAACCCTAAACCCGAAACCCTAAACCCTAACCCCTAAACCCTAAACCCTAACCCCTAAACCCTAAACCCTAAACCCTAAACTGGACCCTAAACCCTAAACCCTGAACCCTAAACCCTGAACTCCTCAAAAGGCACCAAGGGACATTACGGCCGAGACCGTCCTACCCACCTTCAGGACCTCCGCAGAAGGTTGCGGTCTTAGAGCTTGGGGCTTAGAGCTTGGGGGGGGTTTAGGGTTTAGGGTTTTAGGATTCAGGGGGGGTGAAGATTCTTTAGGAGCTCCAGGGCTTGTGGTTCTAGGGTTGGTGTTTAGGGTTTAGGGTTCTAGGGTTCAGGGTTCAGGAGTCTAAGGGTTCCAAATTTGGAGCTTGGGGGGACGGGGGGGGGGGGGTGGTAGGGTTTAGGGTTTACAGGGCTTGGGGGTTTAGGGTTTAAAAGTTTGGGGTCGGAGGTGGGCGGGATGTAGCCAAGCCGCTGTCTCGTTTAGGTTTTAGGGTTTCGGGTTTAGGGCTTGAGGTACAGGGTTGGCTCAACAGTTGGACGAGAGCTTCTTGGGATTTTGTTCCCATCCACGCCTCCGCGCAACCGAACCCTAAATCCTAAAATCGAAACCCTACCCGGACAAGCCTCCATCCTTACTTGGGAGGAAGGGGGTTGGGTTTGTAGGGTTCAGGTGGGCGCCCGGGGTTTTCCGGGCTGAGGGGTTCAGGATGTATGGGTGTGGGGACTGCGGCTTTTGAGGATTTAGGGGGGTTGGGGGGTTTGAGAGTCTTGAAGATCCTACACCCCCACACCCAACAGCAGCCCCGCTGGCTTCCAGACTCCCCCTAGAGCCACAATGAATATAAGATCATGTTGAATATTCCCTGAAACTATCTGAGCGAACAAAACACCTAAAAGGAAACTCTAGGCAGGATCTGCCCTTTCGGGCTGGGGGGTGTGCAAAGTGCTGCTGAAAGCCTGACCTTAAGCCCTCAAGCTCCTTCAGCTGCAGAAGACCCCCCAAGCTCTGCATCCTTGTCAGCTTCGTGGCCCAGGGTTCAGGCTTCGACTCAGGCATGACATCCCGAAACCCCGCTCCCTAGACAAACCCTCCACCCCTGAGCACAAAGCCCAGACCCTAGACCCTGAACCCTAGATCCCGACGCCCCATTCGGGTTTAGGGCTTGGGGCCCAGGTTTGAGAGTTTAGGGTTCTCGCCCCTGGCGTGCTACAACAGGCTCACCTCGCCATTGAAGGTGGCGTAGCCGCTCATCAGCTGCTTTCCCTCGACCTTCTGAGGCAGAAGGCAAACGCGAGCCCTTAAGGAAGGTATACAAAACCCTAAACCCTAAACCCCTTAAAGAAGGTATACAAGAACCCATTTAACGTATACAAAGACCCCTGGAAGGTGTAAGTGAAGGATGTCATACACACCCTGACTGTTCTTGTTTGCACACATGGGCAGACAGAAGGCTCAGAAGCTAAGTACGGCCAAGATAAGCATGAAAAATTCTGAACCCAAAGAATCCTGCGCCTAAACCGCTCTAGGCTCTAACCCCCCATACTAAACAAAATCTAAACCGCTAAACACCAAAAACTTTGAGCCCGAAACCCCCCTAACTAAAGGTGTGATCCCAAAAACCAAAACAGCACCATTACGATTGTTACAATACACCGCGCCCCTCCTTCCCCCACCCCTACAAAAAAAGAACTCTTAACAATGATAAACACTACTAGAGAAGGAATTGCAATAAATCCAAAAAGTACCAATAACACAAACCCCTGAATCTCTGAACCCCCCCGGTGAGCGCTGAACCCCCAAAGCCTAAACCCCAAAGCATTCGAGCCCCAGGCTTCCGTGATAGTTTTGGGGCGGAGCTGCCCTACCCGAACGAAGCCTGATATGGTGGCTCAGGACTATTGCAACCCTAAACCCCCCCAAACCCCTCCCCCTAAGCCCCCCCCTCTAAACCCCCCCCCTCCCTCTAAACCCGCTAAAGCCTCTAAACCCCCTAAAAACCCTGAACCCTAAACCCTAAACCCGCAAGAAAGCCGCAAGAACCGCAGCCCAGGGCGCCGAGTACTCCGCGCGGCTGGCCAGCTGCATGTGGGGCTCCTGTCCTGCCTTCCTGGCCGCGCGTTTTTGGGGTTTAGGGGTTAGGGTTTAGGGTTTAGGGTTTAGGGTTTAGGGTTTAGGGTTTAAGGTTTAGGGTTTAGGGTTTAGGGTTTAGGGTTTAGGGTTTGGGGTTTAGGGTTTAGGGTTTAGGGTTTCGGGTTTAGGGTTTAGGGTTTAGGGTTCAGGGTTTAGGGTTTAGGGTTTAAGTTTAGGGTTTAGGGTTTAGGGTTCAGGGTTTAGGGTTTAGGGTTTAGGGTTCAGGGTTTAGGGTTTAGGATTTAGGGTTTAGGGTTTAGGATTTAGGGTTTAGGGTTTAGGGTTTAGGGTTTGGGGTCTCCTGGCCTGTCTTTGCTTGAGGGCTTTACGGTTTAGGGTTTGTGGTTTGGGGTTCTGGGCTTAGGGCTTTGCCTTTGGGTTTTGGCTTTTGGGTTTCGGGCTTTGGGTGTTGGATTTTGAGTTTAGGCTTTTGGCTTTTGGGCTTCGGGTTTTGGGTTTTGGGTTTTTGAGGGGGCTTGTTGGTACTTTGGGGTTTAGATTTGAGGAGCAGGGTTGCAGGTTTGGGTCTGAATTGAAAGCTTGGTGGTTTGGGGCTTCTGTTAAGGGTGTCCGGGTTTGGGCCAAGAGGCTGCGCTTTACCGTCTGGCGGGGCGCGGGGGGGGGGGGCCCTCCGAGCCTTGCCGCGTAAACACCAAAGCAACTACCAGGGCTCTCTGGATGCTGCTTCTCTGGCTTGCAGGCATCCGAGCCCCAAAGTGCTGAAACTCAACAGGGAGTTCCCAAAGTCCTCAAGCAGGCTGTGGGCTTTTGGTTTTCCCGCCAAACAGAGAAGGTGCCGGCCTTTTGTGTGACGGGGGAATGTGAGCCCGCTCTACTGGGGAATTGTCATGCCTATGAGCTCAAGGCTCTTAAGGATGCGCTAAGCCCATGGAAGCCCCTTGAACACCTGAAGCCCTGAAGAGCCTCGCCGCACAAGCCCACCCCCACCCCCCAACCCTAAACCCTGAACCCTGAACCCAAAACCCTAAACCCTAAACCCTAAACCGTAAACCGTAAACCCTAAACCCACCATGATGGCGCCTCAGCTCCTCCAAAGGGTCTGTGAACCTCCACTTTGCGAGGCCCGGGGGTTGAGTTTCAGGTCTAGGGCTCAGGGTTGAAGTTTGAGGAAGGTTTAGGGTTCAAAAGTGTTTAGCCCTCGCTTTTCCCTGAGCCCCTACAGCAAAAGCCCTCCTGAGCCCAAAAACCCTCAAAACCCCCGAAAGCCCTAAAAGCACCGAAAGCCCCAAAAGCCCCGAAAGCCCTCTAAACCCTAAACCCGAAACCCTAATCCCTAAACCCGAAACCCGAATCCCTAAACCCTAAACCCGAACCCTAAACCCTAAGCTGATCTCCAAGGACTGCAGTTTAGGGTTTGGGTCTTTCGGGCTTTTCGGGCTTAAGAGCTTAGGGTTTCACAGGGTTTTAGAGTTTTAGGACTTTAGGGTTGTAGGGCTTTAGAGGAGTTAAGGGTTTAGGTTTTAAGGCTCAGTGCTTTAGGGTTTCGAGGTTTAGGGCTGTCGGCTTTGGGCTTTGGGGTTTTAAGGCTTTTGGGTACAAAAATCTTAAGAGTTTTTGCGGGTTGTGGCTTTGAGGGTTTAGGGTTTAGGGCGCCCAAAACCTTCTGCCCTGAAGCCCTCCGCCAAGAGTGTTCGAACGTTCAGCCCCCCCTCCCCCCCAACATGTAGAGGGTGCTGTAGGTTTGGAGAGCGTCTCTTCGGGCCTTAGGGTAGCTACATGGTCCCTTCGCATGGGCCCCTAGAAGGGCACCCCCCTGAAAAAAACACCCTTGTATGCCATGATTAGTAGGGTTTAGGGTTTAGGGTTTAGGGTTTAGGGTTTAGGGTTTAGGGTTTAGGGTTTAGGGTTTAGGGTTTAGGGTTTAGGGTTTAGGGTTTAGGGTTTAGGTTTGACCGGCGCAGGGGGCTTGGGGCTCAAGGGGTCTCTGGCGAAGCTGCCGGCGAGTTGCGCTGCACGCATGAGCTCCGGAGTCTCCGAGACCTCCCAGCTTGCTGCCGAGACTTCCGAGGCGCACATACTTCAAGAGGGGTTTAGGGTTTAGGGTTTAGGGTTCAGGGTTCAGGGTTTAGGGTTTGCTGGGACGAAAAAAGTAACAACGGGCATATTGACCACATGAGAAGCATAAGCACGCGAGGAGCTAGCACACACAGATCTAGCAACAGCAAGCAAAAACGTCAATGACCAAGCAACACAAAGGGCTGCAGGGGAGAGGAGGCAAGACCGAAGGAAATGCGGCCCATTCTGCTCGTCTGCCTTTCGGACTCTTGACCCTGCACTGAGAAACTTCATACGAATCTGATAAGCATCAGAGACCACCTTCAGCTGGTCCAGATTCTACGGTCAGCGCCTTTTTTACGCACACTCTAAGCAACCTCCGACCCTGACATTGCAAAATCCTACACCCCGAATGCTAAAAGGCCCGAAACGCCGTAACCCCCCCATAGTCAGCCCGCTACAGTCACCTATACCCCCCTACTTGAAACGCCCCACTTAAAAGCACCCTAATCCCTTCCCCCTAATACTAAAACCCCCCCCCCCCCCCCCCCCCCCCCCCCCCCTAATTCTGAAATTCGTCTGGGCCCGAAAAATATTTAAATTAGGGGGGGTCTAAATCCTAAAACCTGAATTCCGAAACCTAATAATGGCTCAACTCAAGAACTCAAGGGCGAAGGCCCTCAACCCCCCCCCCCCCTAATTCTCAAACAGGTTTAGTATTGGGCTGGCTGCCGGGGGGGTCCGGGGAAAATCTTATTTAAAATTAGGGGGGGTTTTAGTATTAGGGGGAAGGGATTAAAACCCCCCTTAAACCCCCTAAAACCCCCCCTAAAACCCCCGCAAAAAAACCCCGCAGGTCCGGAGCTCCTCGCACCTGCCGGCATGTCTTCGCCACGGCGTCGATGATGCGAGCCGCGCAGTCTGGGGCATCCTCCCCCAGAGCCTTGCAGGCTTGCTGAGGGTTTCGGGGGGTTTATGGTTTAGGGTTTAGGGTTTAGGGTTTAGGGTTTAGGGTTTAGGGTTTAGGGTTGGGGTTTTGGGTTTGGGGCTTAGGGTTTGGGGCTTAGGGTTTGGGGTTTAGGGAGTTTAGGGCTTGGAGGCTTAGGGGTTTGGGGTTTAGGGTTCAGGGTTGCAGGCCCTCGGGTTTTGCGGCTAAGTTTAAGGTTTTGGGGCTTTGGGAGGATGGCTTTTGCTGCGGCCTTGAGCGTGTGCTCAGCGAGCATTCCGCCTGCTCTGAAGAAAGTTCCCAGAACGCCCTGGCTAGCATATCTTACGTGGCCCAAATGTGGAGAGAGCGGTCTAAGTCCTGTCTACAGTGTTGGAAGTATCTTTTGGCTGTTCTCTTTGAAGTAGTATGGGATTGCCTACCGCTTCGGCGACCGGACTACGAACACCATTCGCTTCAGAGCTTCTTTAGAAGAGGTTTAGGGTTTAGGGCTTAGGGCCTCCAACTCTGCACTCTAAGACTTCGCTGCAAGTTTCGGTAGCTCAAGCGCCCACAAGATCACAAAGCGATTTGGGCATTGGACTTTCGGGGTGAACCCCTAATCCCCGAAACCTTCAAACCCCTAACCCCCAAGCCCCTACACCCTTGAACCCCTAAACCCTAAAGCCCCAAAACCCCTAAGCCCCTAACCCCCTAACCGCTGAACCCCCCAACCCCTAAACCCCTAAACCAGTAAGCCCCAACACCCCTAGACCCTAAACCGCCACACCCCTGAAACCCTAAACCCTAAACCCTAAGCCCTAAGCCCTAAACCCTAAACCCTAAACCCTAAACCCTAAACTCCTAGGCAAGGCGGCCTTGTTCTTCTCCCGCTCCGCCAGAAAGGCTGCTACGTTGGAGTACCTTGACGGGGAGCCCGACTCGGAGGTCCACGGGTACTTGCAAGAGGGGTTTAATTCGGGTTGAAGGTTTAGGGTTGTTGGCTTTTTAAGCATTCCAAACAAGGTTATAACTATGACTAGAACTCATCTACTTCTAATCCTACTTGTAGGTACCCATGAACCTCCAAGTGCCTTCATGATGCGGCCTGAAAACCCTAAAGCGTCAGGAACCCTTGAAGCCTTAGAAGAGCCGCGCAACCCATAAGGACCCTGAGCCCTGAACAGACAGAATTAGACTTGGCGTTTAGGGCGTGTGAGCTTTGGGGTTTAGGATGTGCTTCCATGCCTCCAGCAACTCGGGGGCCGCTAGCCCGGATCCTAAACCTATAGCCCTGAAGGCCCTAACCCTAAACCCTAAACCGTAAACCCTAAAACCCTAAACCCCAAAACCCCAAACCCCAAACCCCAAACCCTTAGCTCCCAGAAATACTGTACCCTTCCTGAAATTCAAGTCGACCGTGCTTGGGCGCTACCCTTCCCCACGATCGGGGTTGAGCAGCCCCTGATGCTTAAGGTTAACCTTAAACCCTACCCTAACCTAAACCCCACCCTAACCTAAACCCTACCCTAACCAAAGATGCCACTGCGCCAGGCCACACAGCTACGCCAAGGGCGGAGCAGCCAAACGTGGCTGACGCCGCCACGGCGGCACCCTGTGAGGTCGCAGAGAAGGGGTGAGGTTGGCGGTTCAATCATATTAAAACATGAATTAGCATTATTGACACAACTGATACTATTTTTATAATATTAGTACGCGCAATTCGGGTTTAGGATAATATTCGGGGGGCGGGGGGGGGTGTTTAGGGAGGAGGCTGCGGAGTCCTCGCTGCCTCCACCGGACATGTGGTGCAGACCCGGCCTCCCTAAACCCTAAACCCTAAACCCTAAACCCTAAACCCTCATGCTGTTAGAATTCCACCCCCTCGACACCATGCCATACACCCAAACACCCAAGTACCTGCCTTGCATGTTCCGGCTAGCCAGACACCCCCTGGCTTGTGGAAAAACCTCCTTCGCTTATAAACCCACACACGCGCGCCACGAAAGCCCCTAAAGCTCAAACAAGCTCCCCATCCCCCAAACTTTTGGAGACCCAGAAGCCTGAAGAGCCATCAGGCTGAAGAGTGCCCCTGGCAGAGCCGGGTGCCGGGAAACCCTTGGCTTGCTACAGGCGCTTGCGGCGCAAGATCTGAGTCCAGTTTTGGGGGGGTTTTGGTTTTGGGGCGTTCTGAGTCTACGAGCTTCAAGTGATCAGGTTCCCTCCTGGATTCGTGACCTCTACACGGAAGCCATGCTTACAGGGCGCACATCAACCCTGCAAGGAAACACCAAAGCCCAGGACCTCTGAAGGAGGCCTTTAAGGGTCTCGAAGGCGTGTGGGCATCAGCGCTCTCCCCCCTTTGTGGTCAGCCCTGGATCCCAAAACCCCGAACCCAAAACCGGAGGCCTTCGTGCCCCAAACCCCACGATGTCGCGAGCTTCAGGGCAGAAACGCCTAAGGTCTTCCTTTGCAAAACGTGGTAGCGCAGGGGTCTGGAGGGGCAGTTTAACAACAAGTGGCAGCTGGTGGATCACATGAGAAGCCTCTGCGATTACTTCAAAGGCTGTTGTGTGTCTTGGTTGGGTGACAAGCATTGATGGACACGGCAAGTTGCTTTTCCAGCGGGCTGTGCACCGCATGGTCGAGCCGAAATGCACAGACCGCCACGCAGAGTTCCATGACCCTTGGCTTCTGCGCCACGTTGCATGACTCGCGGTTTGCACTATGTTTACACGGACCCCTGCCACCAGCGGCAGCTTTTTTTCCCTAGCAGCCGAGAAAAGATCTGGGGCACGAGGTCCAGGGCGTAGGCGCGGGGGCGCGGGAGTCTAGGACAGCTGCCGCATGGATCAGAAGTGTCGCCCATCTACCTGCGGCTGCAAGGTCTCAGTGCTTGCTGTCTCACGGGGATCAGGACTACCTTAAATGAAGCAGAATGGCATTGCAGTTCCACGGTTCACGGATCCCGGATCCCGTCCCTCCAGGTCTGTGCTCTTGAGGACCTGTCTGTGGACCGGTGCACACCTTCAGTGATGAAATCCAAGATACCCTAAACCCTAAACCCTGAACCCTAAACCTTAAACCCCGAAACACCGAAACACCGAAACTGCAAGGCGACCAATCCGTGGAGCCTGCACAGCCACGGTGGTTCTACCTCCGGTTCTTGTGGAGCACCTGCCGAGGTCGAGAGGCATCCCTAAACCCTAAACCCTAAACCCTAAACGAACAACTGAGGGGTCTTGTAGCTGCTATGCTTTTTTATGGTGATGATGGCTATTATAGTTACCACTGTTATTCTTGCTATGATAACCAAAAATATGATTGTAGTAGATTGTAGTTCTTCTGTTGTTCTAGTTCTTAAAGCTTCTGCAGATTTTAGCTATTATTGTTCTCATAGTTCTTGTAGTTCTTATAGTTATTGCTATTGTACTTGGGTGAAACACGCGAAAGCCTGACCAAACCCAGCAGCCTCGAGCAGCAGCAAGCGGACTCAGAGCATGCCTTTGGGTGATTCCTGCATGTGGCACAAAACCTCGAACCCTGCATCCCAAAACCCTAAAACTCTGAACCCCCAAAAACCTGCACTCCTGAACCGATCGACCCTGGACCCCTCTAACCTCAAGCAAGCAAGTGCCCGGCGTCATCTGAGAGCAGCTGCTGGAAGGCCAGCTTTCGACTTCGAGCCTTTCAGCGCATGGGGATTCAGGTTGAGGCCTCTTAAGCCCGAAACCCTGAGCCCTGAGCCCTGAGTGTTAGGGACGAAGTCTTTGACGATCAAAGGGCTCAGGGCTTCAGCAGTGCTTGGGATGCACGCGCTGGAGGCCTTAGGGGTGACGAGCTCAGGGGTTTAAGGCTTGTGTAGCGCATTGGTGGCTTGTGATGCGCGGAAACTTTAGGAGGAGCCCGGGTAAGCTTCGTGCCCCGTCCCCAGGGCAAGGCCCCCACACAAGGCTTCCGGAAGGGTTAAGGGTCGACAGGGGCTGTTAAATATCCCGCTAAAACCCCAAAAGGCCCAAAGCTCTGAGACCCTCAAGATTTGTCTCACCTCACCTGGTGTGAATATGCATCACCTACGTAGACACTGCGTCACAGACAGCACACATCAAAGAAATATGCATCAAGGAATATGAATCCGCAAGTCGGCACGGCTTTTGAAGCAGCGTGAAGAACGTGCAGAAACGTCACATACGTGGCAGACGCCATGGTTTTGTGTGCTTTTCCATGCAACCATTCATTCTGCTCCAACATCCCTCAGGGACGCGTGCTTCTTTCAAGCAGCCGGGAACTTTGTGGGGCTGTATGGTTGAGCATCCGGTAACATTGGTCTTTCTTACCCTTTCACAAGGCTTTAACGAACGTGCGGCACCCTGCGAAAGAGGGGCCCCTCCCATCCGCGTGACGAGGCCGCTGAGCCCGCTCAGGCCACTGAGGCCGCTCATGAGCCCACTGAGGCCGCTGAGGCCGCTGAGCCCGCTGAGGCTGCTAAGCCCGCTCAGGCCGCTGAGGCCGCTCATGAACCCGCTGAAGCCGCTGAGGCAGCTGAGGCTGCAGAGGCGGCGAGGCCGCTGAGGCCGCTCAGGCCGCTCATGAGCCCGCTGAGGCCGCTCATGAGCCCGCTGAGGCCGCTCATGAGCCCGCTGAGCCCGCTCAGCCCGCTGAGACCGCTGAGCCCGCTGAGCCCGCTGAGCCCGCTGAGGAGAGGCCGCTGAGGCCGCTGAGCCCGCTCAGGCCGCTGAGGCCGCTGAGCAGCCCGCTCAGCCCTCTGAGGCCGCTCAAGCCGAAGACCCCCCGCTGAGGCCCCTGAGCCCGCTCAGGCCGCTGAGGCCGCTGAGCAGGCCGCTCAGCCCGCTGAGGCCGCTGAAGCCGAAGACGCCGCTGAGCCCGCTCAGGCCGCTCAGCGCGCTCAGCCCGCTGAGCCCGCTGAGCCCGCTGAGGCTGCTGAGCCCGCTGCTCCGCTGTACCGGAAAAGAGTACCGCGTCAAATGGACGCGAAGCGTCCAAGCCAGGGTGCGGGGGGGGGGGGGAGGCGTACAGATGTTGAAGCTTTAGAGGTTGAGCAAGTCTTACGGCTCACTGCCAAATACGCGTTCTATACCTCATACGTACCCGAAGGGTTTAGGGTTTAGGGTTTTTGGGTTTAGGATTCGGGGTTTGGAGTTTAGGGTTTGGAGCTATATACTCTCCTCAACAGGGCCCTCAAAAGGGCCCCAAGTGCCCCAAGTGCCCCGGATAGTCCGCACTGCAAACCTCAGATGAACCCCCCAAAACACCAAACCTTGGGATGCTCCCCCTTAATACTAACAGTCCTTAGTAGGGATCATAGTACCCTTATAAGCTCCATTAAGGACGACTAGTATAAGTGGGAACATAGTACCCCTGTAAGCTCTATCAAGAACGATTAGTACAAGTGGGAACGTCCCATCCTAGACCCAAGACCCAAAACCCTTAACCCTTAACCCCTTACCCTGGGCCCTAAACCCCAAAAGCACTGAGATCATGGTGAGCCCGCGCACGAAAGCCCTCGGCTCCCAGCGCGCGGCGAGAGCGGCGCAGTCAATACCTTTTCTGCAAGTTCAAGATTTAGGGTTTAGGGTTAGGGTTTAGGGCTTAGGGTTGATTTAGGGTTTAGGGTTTAGGGGTTCAGGGGCTGAGATTCACAGATGGTTGATGGGTTCAGGGCCTACGCAAAGACACGAGACCCTGAACAAAAGAACTCCAAGCTTCAATCCCCAAACCCTAAACCCCAAACCTCAAAAACACGCACACACACACACAATAAAAACAAGAAACACATATTCATATACATATATATCCCAAAACCGAAAGCCCAAACAGTAGCAAACCAAACAAACTTGACGGCGCTGGGTCCCACGGCGGCCAGCATCCCGGGACGTCGGCTCGAAACCCCTGGTAACGGGGGTGGCGTAGACTGCTCAAGGGCTCTTAGGGTTCTTAGGGTTCTTAGGGTTCTTAGGGTTCTTAGGGTTCTTAGGGTTCTTAGGGTTCTTAGGGTTCTTAGGGTTCTTAGGGTTCTTAGGGTTCTTAGGGTTCTTAGGGTTCTTAGGGTTCTTAGGGTTTAGAGGTTCAGGGTTTAGGGGATTTTATAGTTCCAGCCGTTTTAGTGTTTTAGGGTTCAGAGGCAGGGCAGCATCATTCGCCAAACTCTTTCGGGCTGATTGTGGTCACTTAACTGTGGCAGTTTTGCCGGTGCTCGGAGTGGACAATGAGGGGCTTCCAGCAGGGTTTCTGTGTGCGTTTGGAGCTTCGAACTGAAGAGGCTTGGGGTCGGTTCCGGGTTTCGGGCTTCTGGGGGCGGCCGGGTATCTTTGAGGCTGCGGAGGGCAAGGGACCATGCTAACAACGCCCCTGAAGGCCCAACCCTGAGGCCAAAAAAAGCGCACCTTAAATCCTAAACCCTAAACCCTCAACCCTAAACCCTAAACCCTAAACCCTTAGGGTTTTTGAGCTTCATGGTTTCTTGAGTTCAAGGCGTTGAGGTGGCTGTCTGCCTTGGATGCCTCCAGCGCTCGAAGACCTGAGCGTGACCTCGGCTTCGAAGGCTTCAGGGAGCCTTTGAAGGGTTTAGGGTTTAGGGTTTAGGGTTTAGGGTTTAGGGTTTAGGGTTTAGGGGTTAGGGTTTAGGGTTTAGGGTTTAGGGTTTAGGGTTTAGGGTTTAGGGTTTAGGGTTTAGGGTTTAGGGTTTAGGGTTTAGGGCAAACCCTCAAAGCCCTAACCCTTGAACCCTCAAACCCCTTATATCCTAAACCTTCAAACCCTGATACCCTTAAACCCCTAAACCCGAAAACCTTAGACCCTAAACCCTTGAACCCCTAAACCCTAACCCTAAACCCGAAACCCTAAACCCCAAACCTTAAAACCCTAAACCCTAAACCCTAAACCCTAAACCCAATTCATGGCCTTTTAGGGTTGAGCCCCTAAAGACTCCGGGATCCTAAACCTTACACCCTAAACCCTAAACCCTGAACCCTACAAAACCCTAAACCCTAAACCCCAAACCCTAAACCCGAAACCCTAAATCCTAACCCTGAACCGTACACCCCACACCCTAAACCCTAAAACCTCTTCCCTAAATCCTACACCCTAAATCCTAAACCCTACATCCTAAACTCTGAACCCTATACCCTGAACCCTGAACCCTGAACCCCAAACCCTAAACCCTAAACCCGAAACCCTAATTCTTGCTGTAAGCTTTCTCGGGCTTCTCTTAAGATGCCTAAGGCTGACGAACAGGAAGAGACATGCAAAGTCACATCATGTTGACGGCTGCCACTGTTTAATCTGCCTGCGGCCGGTTTCATGGTAGAGATGCTCATGCAAAAGGAGTAGGCACCAGCTTCCTCAAGCTTGGTGGCCACAAGAAGTCAGGTGAATGTACAATTTGTCTGACTCCCGCGCAAGCATAGCAGCCCCAAAAGGGTGGGCCGGGTGGGCAAAAACAAGAAGTGATCACTGCTACACCTTGCTCAACCCAAAACCTCGCTTGAGTTCAGTGGCAATCAGTGCCGCCCAAATGAATGCATGTTCAGTCTTGGATATCAAACCCCTCGACTTGGCTATATGCATCACTGAAGATGGCGAGCATGCCGCAAAGACAGCATCGCAAGAATATGTGGTCCATTCTTGCTGTAAGCTTTCTCGGGCTTCTCTTAAGATGCCTAAGGCTGACGAACAGGAAGAGACATGCAAAGTCACATCATGTTGACGGCTGCCACTGTTTAATCTGCCTGCGGCCGGTTTCATGGTAGAGATGCTCATGCAAAAGGAGTAGGCACCAGCTTCCTCAAGCTTGGTGGCCACAAGAAGTCAGGTGAATGTACAATTTGTCTGACTCCCGCGCAAGCATAGCAGCCCACCTCTCCAGCACTGGCGTTCGCAAGAAGGCCGTTGTTATGCAGAGGCATAATGTGATTCTATCCTGCCGGTCCCAAGCTTGCTTCGCGTGCACCAACGCGGTCATGTGGCAAAGACGACCGCAAATTCGAAGAGGGCACTGGTTTGTGGAGAAAGAACTCCGGCCAAACAGTGCTGACACTCAAGTGCCCTGCAGGGGGCACAGCCTGCAAAACCCACAGCCATCGTGATAGCCGCCCATCCTGCCTCCAGATGAGCACCAGCGCTTCCTAAATACGAGCAACGTCAAAGGACCCCGCTCACAATGGCCAGAGTGTAAACCAGCCGCCTGTACAACAAATTCGAACCCCGAAAGGTAAAACTGCCCGCTGCTGATCTTGAGACAAAGAGCCTGCTCGCAGCAAAAGGAAAATTCACAGCCAAAAACACCCTCGCGGCCAGCTCGAAGCCTTATCCAATCGAGAAGTGACTCAGCGGCAAAATTCGGTATGCAGCAAGCCGATGACAGCTTCAATGACAAGAAGAAGGCGCAGAATCACCGTTGTAATGCCCTGTACAAAAATCCAACCCAGCAGAACAAGCAGAACTCAAGCGAGCAGAAAACCCGCCCATGGCTGGAGCAAAAACAAGAAGTGATCACTGCTACACCTTGCTCAACACAAAACCTCGCTTGAGTTCAGTGGCAATCAGTGCCGCCCAAATGAATGCATGTTCAGTCTTGGATATCAAACCCCTCGACTTGGCTATATGCATCACTGAAGATGGCGAGCATGCCGCAAAGACAGCATCGCAAGAATATGTGGTCCAACCCTGAACCCTAAACTACGGCCGTGCGCTCCGAGAGTGCGCCAAGGCGCTGCGCGACGCGCGGGCGAGAGGCCAGCGCCCTGGTCTCTCCGGCGCTTCAGGGCTTCAAGGGTTGTAGGGGTTCAAAGGATTGAAAGGGTTTAGGATTTAAGGGATAAGGGTTAAGGGTTTAGGGTTGAGGGTTCAGGGTCACCCCCCCCCCCCCCCCCCCCCCCCCCCCCCCCCCCCCCCCCCCCCCCCCCCCCCCCCCCAACCCCCAAAAACCCGCCGTGCCATGGAGGGCGCGGGCGAAACACGCGCGTGTTTCGAGGAGCCGACCAGGCCCCAGCTGATGCTCATGATGCGCGCCAGCGCGCCCGGCAGACCCGGCCGGTCCCAGCTGATGCCCATGATTAGGGGGCGGGGGGTGGGTCCCGACGCGGCACCCAAAAAAAGCATCTGATCATTAGCGGCATCGGCCCTGGCGCCCGCAAAATTCCCAGCCACAAACCAACCCTCTCCTCCCTCTCCTGTCCCTCCTTCTGGCCTAAAATTCGGCCGCTCCCCTGACGGGATCCCAAGGGATGGGGATGATCCCCCTGCCCAAGGGATAGTTGGGGTGAGCACATGACGCCAAAATCTTGGGGAGCGGCGCCGCTGATTCGCCGCTAGGCGTTTTCGACTTAGGGCTTAGGCGGCGGGGCTTGCTTTAGGGCTTCGTGCTTTAGAGCTTTAGGGCTTTAGGGTTTGAGGCTTTCGGGTTTTAGGACTCTAGGGCTTTAGGGTGTTAAAGGGTTCTTAGGGCTCGAGGGCTTCTAGGGAATCTGGGTCGCTAAGGCGTTTAGGGCTTGGGCTCTCACGTGAAGGCATCGAATGCCCAAATGTCTCATACATCAATGCAACACCCAGCCCCGGACTCCCTGAAGCCACAACAGTCCTCCACAACCGCAGAACTTCACTCCAAAAAGACCTCACGCCACAAAAACAGGACATGTATAGTTACTATAGTTTCAACATGCCAACTACCTATTGAGTTCTGATAGCTCCCAAGACTTCTCCCCGAAACTGGGTCGCGCGGAAGGCCTGCTCTTATGCACAAGGGTTTGAGGTTTAGGGTTTCGGGTTTAGGCTTTAGGGTTTCGGGCTTAGGCTTTAGGGTTTGGGGTTTAGGGTTTAGGGTTTTAGGCTTTAAGGTTTCGGGTTTAGGGTTTAGGGTTTAGGGTCATCTTGAATATACCACGCTGGCGTTTTGGGGCTGGAAGGTGGGTCGTCGCCTCATTGCAGAGGTGTAAGACTTTTAGAAGTCGTGGTTCAGGTCACCAGGAGTTCTTCTAGCAGGCCTGTTTGAGAACTAGTCATGAGCGTTATACAACTACAGAGAGATCCATACGATCGCGAACATGATCCTTTGCTGTTCTTGACATGAAACTACCGCGGTCATATTAATGCCTAAACCCTAAACCCTAAACCCTAAAACCCCTAAACCCTAAAAACCCTAAACCCTAAACCCTAAAACCCCTAAACCCCAAAAACCCTAAACCCTAAACCCTCAAACCCCTAAACCCCTAAACCCTAAAACCCCTAAGCCCCCTAAACCCTAAACCCTAAGACCCCCAGCCTCTGTAGACAGCGGGCGGCGGACTTTGGGCCCCGCCTACGTACAGGGCCAATGAGTCCCCGGCTTTCTTTGGGGGGGCCTTCTTGGGGGGGGAGAACAAGGTCTTTAGGGTCTGGGGAGTTTATAACTTAGGGTTTAGGGTTCAGGGTTTAGGGTTTCGGGTTTAGGGTTTAGAGTTTAGGGTTTAGGGTTTAGGGTTTAGGGTTTAGGGTTTAGGGTTTAGGGTTTAGGGTTTAGGGTTTAGGGTTTAGGGTTTAGGGTTTAGGGATAGAGTGGAAGGGCCGAGGATGCCTTCGGCGCGGCTCGGGGTGCTGTGGCCGAAGATTAAGGCAAAGCGAAGCACGCGAAACACTTTGCAGCCCTAAAGCCCTGCCCTACCGACCAATTGCTTAAGAACCCCAAAAAATAGAGAATGTTCTTCCTTAGGAGGGTAATATAGGGATTATTTTGGGGGGGTTCTTAAGCAAATTACTGTAGCAGCCTTAGTCATTAGAACAGGGTTTTTGTGGGTTATTATAGTACATTTACGAAGGGACCCTAAGGGAATATTATCAGTAATCATTTCGTATTAGACTCCTTCAGACCCCGAGCCGCCTTTTTTGAGCTTCTTTGAGTGATTGCCCTGTAGGTTTGGGCGATCCTGTTTGTAGTAACCATAAGCACAAACACAGTCAAAAAAAATGCAACCCTGAAATGTGGCTTACGGATCTTTTCTCGTCAAACTGATTTTCTGCGCACGGTTTGTGAGTTGTAGAAGGTGCACCGACATTGCGAAACTTTTTGTGCCTCTTGTCAGCGGGCTGATCTGCAGTTTGTTCTCCGATTTTGTGCTGTTGCTGCTGATGTTTTTCTGCGGTCATAATGTGCAGTTTGTGCTTTGAATCTTGTTGATGCGCATGGCTGTCGCGCACTGTGCGCGCAAACGACTTTTAAAGGAAGCACCTTGTGAATGCTTCTGGATTCTGCTTTGCGCCGACCTTGCTTTTTGCGGTTGTGGTGTGCTGTGAAACTCTGCAAGTTGTTGTGCTCTTTTGGTGTGGTAGTGGTCTGCAGCTTATGCTCCGATGTTGTGCTGTTGCTGGTTCTGTGCAGTTTATTGTGCTTGTGCACGTGGAGAATTCTTACACCCGCGGCAACAACCCTAGCCCAAATGGAATGACTTTCTGGTGCTTTGACAATAAACCCATTTTTGATTTGTTACGAGTAGGTTGAACTTAGGGTATGGGGTTTGGGGTTGCGGGTGTAGGCTCACCGGTTGCGAGGTCGACAGCCGTCGGAACCCTCTAAGTGCATGTGCACAGTTGTGCAGGGAGTGCTTCCACGCGTAGGCTACGATTCGGGACATTGTGGATTGCGGGAGGTGCCTGTGCAGGAGATGTCCTTTCAGAGCTTTTCGCTTCGAGGCGAGCCTCAGGGGAGAACTTTCGAATGAACGGTGCAACGCCCAGACAGGATTTACACACCCCAAAGCTCCCCCCCCCTTCCCCCCCCACCCTCCTTCACCCCAACCGAAAACCCAGGAACCCTGATGCCCAGGGACCCCAAAAAACCAAACAAGTCAAGGCGACCTTCAGTCCTGGTCCCTGAAACCCTGAAACTGCTAAGCACCATGAATCCCTGAAGCTCTACTTAACCCCTCAGACCCTAAACCCTAGACCCTAAACCCCAAACCCCAAACCCTAAACCCTAAACCCCAAACCCTAAACCCGAAACCCTAAACCCTAAACCAAGACCCCCCAAAGCCTTTAAACTTTACAGCTGCGAACCAGCCAAGAACCCTGGGAGCCCCCCGGACACCTTGGGGTTTTAGGGTTGAGGGTTTAGGGTTTGGGGTTGTAGGGTTGAGGGTTTTGGGTTTGGGGTTTTAGGGTTTAGGGTTTGGGGTTGTAGGGTTGAGGGTTTAGGGTTTGGGGTTTTAGGGTTGAGGGTTTAGGGTTTGGGGTTGTAGGGTTGAGGGTTTAGGGTTTGGGGTTTTAGGGTTGAGGGTTTAGGGTTTGGGGTTTTAGGGTTGAGGGTTTAGGGTTTGGGGTTTTAGGGTTGAGGGTTTAGGGTTTGGGGTTGTAGGGTTGAGGGTTTAGGGTTTGGGGTTTTAGGGTTGAGGGTTTAGGGTTTGGGGTTTTAGGGTTGAGGGTTTAGGGTTTGGGGTTTTAGGGTTGAGGGTTTAGGAGGCTTGGGGCGCTTAGGGGTTGGGGGCTTTCGGGGGTTTTAGGGTTTTCGAATGCCGTCAAACCTGACACACCCCAAAAACCCTCAATACCTCAAAACCCCCAAAATTTAAATGCCTCCAAAAACCCCTAAAAACCCTAAATACCTCAAAAAACCTGAAACCTCAGAGCCCCTAAACCCCCTCCCCTCCTGCTGCGCGGCAAGGCTTGCTCTGAGCGCTGCGAGGTCGGAGAGCCGCGCCTCTCTCAAGGGTCTCTCGAAGAGGCGTCCCAGCAAAGTTCTGACTCGGGGATGTTCCCCCCTTATTCTAACAGTCCTTAATAGGGATTATAATCAGGGGTACGAACACCCCGATTAAGGACTGTTAGCATAAGGGGGAACATCCCAATTCCGACTGCTAGAGAATTTAGGTGGCTGAGGGGGAGGTTGAAGGGTCTTTTTGATGTTGGTTCTGGGGTCCTAGGGGGACGCGTGGAGGTTGAAGAGGGGGTGGGGCGAGTTTCATGAGGGGAAGACCCTAAACCCTAAACCCTAAACCCTAAACCCTAAACCCTGAGGCTCCATGGCGATTTTTGCCTACTGCTTTCGGTTCTGAGCTTGGGGGTCCCACTCTAGCTTCAGAAGCTTTGGCTGTTATGGTTTAAGGATTTCGGGGTTTCGGATACCCATACCGTCCTGGGGTCCCCAAGCCCCAAACCCCCTGAACCCCGAAAGTTTCAGAATCCCTGTAACTCCTCCAAGAAGCCCTAAAAAGCCAAAATCAGCCCACAAAGCCCAGCAGCCCTTGTACCTTCTACATAGTTTCTCTCTCAACCTGCTCCGTCCCTTGCGGAGTGACAAGGCCTGCTCACCGCGCCTTGGTGACAGATCCTTCCAGGCGCAGTGTGCTCTTGGGACTTAGAGTTTAGGGTTTAGGGTTTAGGGTTTAGGGTCCAGCTACCCCTGAACTTCTGAATACCCGAACGAAAGGTGATCCGAATAAAAAAACCTCAAACCTGGACCTAGACTCCAGAACCCCTTCTGAACCTCTACATTATGGACCCTATAACCCCCTAAGTATTCGCCACAAACTCTCAAACCCTCAGCGTAGCCACGCCTCGCGGCTGCTCCCTCGCTTGCCCGGCGGCTCCTCGCGTTAGACTCGCAGAGCTTGGGGTGAATTTGGGTTGTGAGGGCGATGAAGGTCCCTCGTGGATGTGCACCGCGATCGCTGAAGGGGTCTACAGTATTGTGGTCTGGCTCACGGAGTTCGAGGGTTTTTTGGGTTTTTGAGGTGCTTGGGGTGAGGGATCAGGGGAACCACGCTTCAGGTAACGGCTGTGTTACATCACTGGGGAAGGAGTCGCATCTCCCCGAGTACACGCAGCGGGGAGAGAAGTCACATCAATGCGGCGTGAAGTCGCATCACATGCACACTTCTCAACAACACATTCCCCAAGGACAGGCATGCACACACGTACTGCGACCGTGAAAACGAAGCATCAGGCACCGCGCGCCGACCCAAAAATGATTTCACGCAGACAAGTCCTGGGTTGACTCGCACCATGTGAACCCTAAACCCTAAACCCTAAACCCTAAACCCTAAACCCTAAACCCTAAACCCTAAACCCTAAACCCTACGTAAGGGCTCCGTGTGTGCTAGCCCCGTCAACACTGCTGCCGGAAGCCCTGCACATTTCGCGCGCTTCAGGGTTTTGGCCGTAATAACTTTCCAAGGCTAAAAATCTCCTGGTTTGAGAGTTTTAGGGTTTAGGGTGTAGGGTTTAGGGTTTAGGGTTTAGGGTGTAGGGTTTAGGGTTTAGGGTTTAGGGTGTAGGGCTTCTCCCGAAAGTCTTGACCACTGCGAATTTCCAAAGCCAACCTTCGAACCAGAACAGGCAAACCCTGAAAGCAGCAAGTAGCCATCCTTCCTCTGCCGCCTAAACCCTAACCCTAAACCCTAAACCCTAAACCCTAAACCCTAAACCCTAAACCCTAAACCCTAAACCCTAAACCCTAAACCCTAAACCCTAAACCCTACACCAAGCCAGGCCTTTTTGGAAGGGGAGGCCATCTCCGCGGACACCGGCGTTGATGCTTCCACGGATGGGACCTGCGTGCCAAAGACCTGGCCAAGGTCTGAACCAGTTCGCCTTCATGTCGTGTGCTTGCTTAGGGACTCAGGGATTTAGGGATTTAGGGATTTAGGGTTTAGGGACTTAGGGATTTAGGGATTTAGGGATTTAGGGATTTAGGGACTTAGGGATTTAGGGATTCAGGGATTTAGGGATTTAGGGATTTAGGGATTTAGAGTTTAGGGTTTAGGGTTTAGGGTTTTTGGCAGGTCAGACCATGCGAGCAGCAACTTTCCACGTCCCGACATGATTCGGGTTCGTAGGGTTTAGGGTGCCTAGGGTTTAGGGTTACTGGTGTTTAGGGTTTACTAGGGTTTAGGGTTCCTGGGGTTTAGGGTTCTTGGGGTTTAGGGTTCTTTAGGGTTTAGGGTTCCTAGGATTTAGGGTTCCTAGGGTTCAGGGTGCCTAGGGTTTAGGGTTACTGGGGTTTAGGGTTTACTAGGGTTTAGGGTTCCTGCGGTTTAGGGCTTTTTCGGGTTTAGGGCTCTTTAGGGTTTAGGGTTCCTAGGGTTTGGGGTTACTAGGGTTTGGGGTTACTAGGGTTTGGAGTTCGTCGGGTTAGGATACCTCCACCGCAACAATGGGGAGCGCTCCAAGATCGAACCCAACTAAAATCCGGACCACAGCCACTTTTGAGGTTCGCGGTACTTATTAACCAACTATAACTGTACTTATAGCTTATAACCCACTTAGAAGCCCCTGAAGTGCCCTAATATGGCTATAAATACAGATATAGTTGGTTAAGACAGTACCATGAACCTCCAGCCAACAGAAACGCCATGGACAGCCGCAAGATCTAAAGACTTTCTGCTGGTTATTAGGGAATGAGGGAATGAGGTACCCGAGATCCCCCTATGCATCCCCTTCAAGGGGCTACATAGGGTACCTCCTTCCCCCATTCCCGACTAATCAACAGTAAGAGGAAGCTGCCAGAATGCGAATCACATGCCTCTTCGGTATCGATAAGGGTGCACAAGGGTGGATCATAATGAGAAATGTCAGGTCAGCATATATATCTCAACAAATTCTAGACACACGCCAGCGCCTGCTTGGCGGCCAGTGGCGATGCTGCCTGCTCCAGCACCTTCAACGACCGCGTTTAGTGCTCAGGGCTTCGGGAACATCTCAGGCCTTCGGGCCCCGCCTCTCGCACCTCTTTTTCAGCTGCGGGGTGCGGACTGTACATGGCTCCTGGTTCTTGCTATTGAGTTGAAGGGGTCTCTGTACAGCGGCGGCTCGGAAACGCCAGAGAAACACCCAGAAAACGGCCAGGAAGGCGGGGGGGACGTGACGAACCCTAAACCCTAAACCCTAAACCCTAAACCCTGAACCCTTAAACCCTAAACCTCAGAGGTCTTCGAGCTTCAGCGGGCCATCCGGGGCCGCTTCCACCATGGAGCCGCCGCGGCGCACCAGGCAGAGCGTCTGCAAGCCGGGCCTCGGCAGAAGGGCGCGCTCTTCGTCCCCTCCTATGGGCTTAGGGTTTAGGGTTTAGGGTTTAGGGTTTAGGGTTTAGGGTTTAGGGTTTAGGGTTTAGGGTTTAGGGCTTAGGGTTGAGGGTTCAGCATCTCTGGTCCAAGCATTCTCTAAGGGTTTTTGTCATCACCCTACGTGTTTGGCATCACCCCTCCCTCCAGATCCCTCTTCATCTGAATTACATATCTTCTTTCTTACTTTAGGTATTTGTGATCAACCCAATTATATCATTTAGCTCGCAACATTCTTTCTCGATTCGGCACCGTCTCTAGTCAATTCGGCGCACGGACAATACGCACAGAGTGGGGGTGGCACAGGTTCGTATAAGCACGCATGGCTATTAAATCCAAAAGCGTGGCATCCTAAATCCTAAATCCTAAATCCAAGGCCCCCCCCCCTAGGCCCCTCACCCCTCTCACCCCCCCCTACCCCCAAGGGCCTGGGACGCTAAATCCTAAATCCTAAATCCTAACACCCTAAACCCTAAACCCTAAACCCTAAACCCTAAACCCTAAATCCTAAATCCTAAATCCCAAACCCTAAACCCTAAACCCTAAATCCTAAATCCTAAATCCTAAACCCTAAACCCTAAATCCTAAATCCTAAATCCTAAACGACCAAACCGGGAGCACAGCCCCATTAAAGTTTAAATATACATAGGTAGAGAGGGTTTAGGGTTTAGGGTTTAGGGTTTAGGGTTTAGGGTTTAGGGTTTAGGGTTTAGGGTTTAGGGTTTAGAGTTTAGGGTTTAGGGTTTAGCGTACGGGAGGTATTCCGAAATTCGGGGGTACCTTTATTGGGGTCCCTTTTTAAACGGGAATCCTACCATTTGGGGGAGAATACTCGGGGGTCCCTGATTTTCGTAAACCCACATATGAAAAGTCGGGCCTTTTGTTGCGAGTATAACAGGAAGTATCAACCCTGTTTCGTATCACGACCCCCCTCCCCCCTTCCCCCTCCCCCCTCCCCCCTCCCCCCTCCCCCGCCCCGCCGGAGTAGCACCCTGTTGCTTCTTTTCTCGTTTAGGATTTGAGGGGGGGCTGTTAGCGTTTAAGTACAGCTGCAAGGTGCCCGCTTCGTGGGGAGGGGTGGTATGTTTGAATCGAGGAACCAATAGGGGCTCAGGGTTTCAAGGCTCCTCGGATTAGGCCTTAGGTTTTAGGGGAGTCGAGGTTTAGGGGCTTGCGTTCAGCAATAGGGTTTAGGGTTTAGAGTTTAGGGTTTAGGGTTTAGGGTTTAGGGTTTAGGGTTTAGGGTTTAGGGTTTAGGGTTTAGGGCAGTTGAGGCTTGGGGGCTTGGGGCTCAATGCAGGCAACATGTTTCGACTCGACTCTGGCTGGTGATGGTCTAGGGCCTCAAGAGCGGGCTTACCGGAAGACCCCTTCCTGAGCTGTCTCCTGTGCGGCGGAGACCCCAACTCCACGACAAGCGTCAGCATGATCAGCGGGCGAATCCCAAGCCCCTCTGCAATCGATCGGTAGGTCGCCTCCTCCCGAGTGAGTCAGAGCTTGAGATGCCGCCACCTTACTTGCTAGGCTCTTACACACGTGATCATCGGGGGAGCATCCTGGGGAGGTTGCACGAATGAGGCTGCCTCCCACGCAGAAGCCCACTCAAGAAACCGAAGGCCCACCAACAAACGCCCTACCCAAACCTCACGCCCCTCAAAAAAATGCACCTCCGAAGCCGCCGGAAAATCTAAGGCCCCAAAGAATAACACCCAAACCATCCCCGAGCTCAAGCGATCCTCCACCGGCATCTTAAGGACCTCCTTACCTGCGTTTGGGGGAGCGGCGCAGGGTATCGCTGGCGGTTGACGGGGTTGAGAGTCAAGGGCTTTTGTAGGAAGGCCCCTGCGTCTTGAGGATTTTCAAGGGCTTCTGAGGGTTTTGGGGACGATGGGTGCGTAGGCGACGGAGGTATCAGGGCTTGTAAGGGGGAAAGGCCGGCGCCTTGGGGCGTGGACAGATACCCTTGACCCTGTAGCACGCTTCAATCCTTCGACTCTTAAACCCCAAGTCATGCACCCAAAACCTCATTAACAGTCCCACGAACACGCCTGCCATGGTGGTCACGGACACGGCATCCGTTTCCTGATCCTTGTGTGGCTTTTGCTCTTGCTTGCCCTTCACGCTAGAAACCCAACAGCCACAATCACCACACGGAGCTGGAGTTTTGGGGCCGCAGGTTCACTGTGCAAAAGCCTAAGAAAAAATTCTCGCTTTCGGGGGCCACCCAACCCAGGCTTAGTTCCCTTCAAAAGGCCCCCACGTACACGAGCCCTCCTCCATGAAAACCCTGAACCCTGCTACGAAAGACTTAGAAACCTTCACCCGAAAATTTCGGAGGAAAACTTCGGATTGCAGCCCTGTCCTGGCCGCCTTTTGGCGAAGGCACCAAGGTCAGGACCTGGTTTACGTGATTTCTTCGTCTGCTTTGCGGGGAGTGGGTTTAGGATGTAGAGTTGAGGGTTTCGCAGGGCTGAGTGCGCAGGGTGGCAATTGAGGGCTTCAGGTTTAGGAGTTTTGGGTTTGGGGTTGAAGGTGTCACAAACCCTAAACCGCTGAACCCCTTGCCTGCGGGCGTAGGGGTCGCACTGCGAAGCCACGGGCGCGGTACTGCGTCGTAAAGCCATAGATCTGGGACTTGAAATCTTGGGCGCTTCGGAGCTGTTTGAGGGTTTTTGGGGGGGTCTCAGGTTTCATGGGCTTTTTGGTCACCAGGCTTGGAACTTGAAAAACGGGGTTCTGGGGACTACAAGACTTGGGGGCGTTGTTTGGATTCAGGGCTCAGGCTCTGGCGGCCCTGAGATCGTGCCAAAGTGGGGCTTAAGGTTTAGGAGTTCGGGTCTTAGATCTTAGGGTTTAGGGTTTAGGGTTTAGGGTTTAGGGTTTGAGATGCCAAGATGCGCCCAAAGCCGGCGTCCTCGTGGGCAGCATCCCCGGTTCCAGCTCGACCGAGTGGACCTTCCGCAGATGTTACCAAGGCCCTCAAGGAAGCCCTCCCCTCTAGAAATCTCTGGCTATACACCCTAGACATCCCCTTAAGAAACATAAACTACAACCCCATAAAACCTGCAAATACATCTTCCCTACAAAACCTGCAATTAAAGCTACCCTATAAAACCTGCACTTAAAACTATAACCCTACACAAACTGCAATTCTCACACTACCCTATACAACCTGTATTTAGACCCAACTGCCTGGAAGGACCCAACTGCCTGGAAGTCATTAATCCCTACACCCTAAACCCTAAACCCTAATAAACCCTAAACCCTAAACCCTTAAACCCTTAAACCCTGAAACCCTAAACCACCCTAAACCCTAAACCCTGAACCACCCTAAACCCTAAACCCTAAACCCTAAACCCTAAACCCTAAACCCTAAACCCTAAACCCTAAACCCTAAACCCTAAACCCTAAACCACCCTAAACCCTAAACCCTAACCACCCTAAACCCTAAACCCTAAACCCTAAACCCTAAACCCTAAACCCTAAACCCTAAACCCTAAACCCTAAACCCTAAACCCTAAACCCTAAACCCTAAACCCTAACCCAACTGCCTGGACGTCATTGATGAAGTACACCGCGGAATCCTCCCTGAGCGCCAGGGCCATGGAGTTCCAGGCGCCGCGCGTCAGCTTCCGGGACCGGTAGCGGCAGCCTGCATGTGGGGCTTAGGGTTTCGGGGTTTAGGCTTTAGGGTTTAGGGTTTAGGGTTTGGGGTTTAGGATCTGGGGTTTAGGGTATAGGGTTTAGGGTTTAGGGTTTAGTGTTTAGGGTTGAGGGTTCAGGGTTTAGGGTTAGGGTTTAGGGCGGACCCCGGCGGCGTGTTGGATGGGCTGGGCAGGTCTAAACCCTCCCAAAACCCCCAACCCTGGTTGCATCATGAAGGGTTTGGGATGTTTTTGCTCGACCCCCCCTGCCCCCCCCGCCCCCCCCCCCCCCCCCCCCCCCCCCCCCCCCCCCCCCCCCCCCCCGCCCTCGCCAGTTTGGCTGGCTGGCCCTTCCCTGCCCTGAACCCTAAACCCTAAACCCTAAACCCTAAACCCTAAACCCTAAACCCTAAACCCTAAACCCTCCTGCGGTGGCATAAGCCGGAGGCTCTTCAATTTTATGGCTCATCGAAGTGCGGGCGCTTGGAGAGCCGTCGGCATGGGGCCATACTTTGTCCTCCTTTCATCCTTGCAGCTAAGGGGTTTTTCCGGCTCTGGTCACTCTTACTTACTTGCCGTGCTGTGCGCAGACTCTGACGATTGAGTCGGGTGGGGGCGTAAGCGTGGGGGCAGGGATCTACCAAAACTGGACCTCACCCTTGGGCCCTTTGGGCTCCAGGGCTTAGCGCTCCGTGTTTTAGAGTCTGTTCCCTAAACCCTAAACCCTAAACCCCAAACTGTTGGGTGAGCTGGAAGATGGTGGGCTGAAGGTTCATGATTGGCGGGCATCGCGCCTTTCCTCAGGAAGCTTCCGAAGACCTCGTAGCGGAAGTCGAAGTCAGTTCGATCGACACTGGCGCCTACAGCTCTTGGGTGTTCCAGGCTTGTGGTGACCCGAGGCCCCCTACAGCTGGGTGATGGATTTCGGGGGTTTATGGCTTTTGGGAGGAGTAGATCTTACAAGATCTCCTCCCCTCCAGCGCCGCTGCTTTCGCATGTGCTTTTCAGGCGAGGCCTACGATGATCCCCGAAAAACGCGCTTCTGGATGCCCTCCTGACCCGCTGCAGCCCAGGGACACACAGTAAGACCATCCCCATTCTGACCCCACTGCTTCTTATTGTCCGTGGCGATGAGGAAGCACTCAGTGTTCTTGTCTGGGGGGAAAACCTCCACGGTCACCAATACAGGGAGCGGCCAGCGGAGGGTTCCTGACACAAGGGTCTGCTTGTCCACTCCGGTGAGGCCACGTTCTATGGAGCTCCGACATCCTCCTTAAGGCCAACAACCCAAGCCATCACCAAGCCCAAGCCCTCAAACCCTTGAGACCTTCCACAAACTCCAATGCCCAGACTGCGCCCTCATGAGCATGTGAAGCTTTGACTTGACCCCAAAGCTCCAAGCCCCGCCCCCCCCCAAGAAGAACCAAACAGCCCTCAGCCCCTCAGCCCTAAGCGGGCTGTTTGCCAAATCTCCAACTCTCTGTGTCTCCAGCATCCCTTACATATTATCGCATCTAAATATATATATATATATATATATATATATATGTATATATATATGTATATATACATATACACATACGTATACAGATACATATACATATACGTATACGTATACGTATACGTATACGTATACGTATACGTATACATGTACGTACACATATGCATATACATATACATATGCATGTACATATACATATACATATGCATGTACATATACATATACATATACACATACATATACAAAAACATATACATGTACATGTACATATACATATACATTTACATATACATATACATATACACATCCGTATATAAAAACATATACACATACATATACATGTACATGTACATGCACATGGATATGTATCTAGACAGATAGACAGGTAGATAAATGCACTGCTCCATATATACATATATGTTTAAGAATATGATACATGATGTACAGCTATATATGCAATAGCATACATGAATATATCTATATATGTATATATACATACATATGTATATATATACACATACATACACACATATATATATATATATGATTATGCAAGATGTCATATGACTCTCGCTCTCTCTGCATTAACATATATATATAAAGAAAATGTATACATATGTTTATATTTCATTCTTCATGTAGTTATTTAGATGAGTGTGTGCGTGTGCTGTGCTATGACTATTGTTGGTAGAACTATTGTTTTAGTGTTCGTTTGTGAATAGCTTCGTCTTTTGTCTTCTTATAGGCTATGATAACTGATTATATTACTAAATAATGCTATGTACTTTTTACATACGTATAGAAATACCTGTACGTTCCATAATAAGAAGATATATATGTATATGTATGTATGTGTATATGTATGTGTATATACATATATATATATATCATGTAAGTATATTGTTTTCTAAAAAACATTCAAGAATATATCGCAATATCTACCAATATATACAAATAAATAATATTACATTATATTATTGCAGCTATTGCACATTACTACATCGTATCAGATATTTTCATGATGTGCTATATATTTCTTATATACTAGTACAGATCGTTCTGTAGTGGTAATCCTCGTGCAGAATTTCCTTCTTGCAGAAATTAAAAACGGTAACGCAAATTTTACCGCATGCTTTGCTGTGACTTCGCAAGCCCCTCCGCAAGCCCCTCCCCCCCCCAACCCTAGCCGCTCCCTCTGCATCCTTGGTCGTTTCGCACTCGCAGCCTTCCAGGGTGCCGGAATCGAAAAGGGAGCCCCGGGGGCTGGTGTCTAAGTAAAGCTCTCGAAGCCGTTCAAAGTCCTTTTGGGTTTAGGGTTTAGGGTTGAGGGTTGAGGGTTTAGGATTTAGGGTTTAGGGTATTTAGTATTTAGGGTTAGGGTTTAGGGTTAGGGTTTAGGGTTAGGGTTTAGGGTTTAGGGTCTAGGGTTCAGGCGGATCAGGGCCTTGGGTCTCTGAGAAGCCTCCGGGCGGGAAGAGTATGGTGTGCATTGGCACAGCGAAGGACTCATCGCTGTCCATGACACCGCAGCCAACGGCGTCGTCCATGGGCTCGGGGGTGGGATTTGACACTCAGGGCTGAGGGCTTGTAGGGAACATCTATCCATATATATAACATATGATTCTATTGTTTTACAAGACTATAGACTAGTAAAACGTGCTCATATTCCCACATATGACTGCATATTTAAAAAAACACCTTCGGGGCTTCGGTTCAAGGATTGGGGAGTGGTGGCGTGGCATCCCGCGTTGACCCAACCATCTTCGAGCCCTTCGCTTCAAAGCCGTGGGCAAATTCTGGGGTTTGGGGTTAGGGGTTAGGGTTTAGGGTTTAGGGTTTAGGGTTTAGGGTTTAGGGTTTAGGGTTTAGGGTTTAGGGTTTAGGGTTTAGGGACCGTTCAGGGCGGCTTAGGGCTTTCGCAAGTTGGCGCAGGGCAGTATTGAGTGGAACCCCAAAGAAATTACACCGTGAGCCTGCAAATCCCTGAGCCATTTACCCGCAAGCCCTGAACCCGTAAACTCACAAATCCCGGAGGAAACCAAAAAAAACTAACCCTAAGCCCTAAACCCTAAAACCCTAAAGCCCTAAACCCTAAACCCTAAAGCCCCAAACCCTAAACCCTAAACCCTAAAGCCTAAAGCCCTGAACCCTTAAACTCGTTCGACCTCAGCTTCCCGGTGCCTCGGGGGCTTTTTCAAGTGCGGCCCCTCGCAAGCCCTAAGCCCTTGAACGGGGTCTTGGGTTTTAGGGTTCATGGTTTAGGGTTTAGGGTTTGGGGGTTAGGGGGTTTGAGGGTTTGGGGGTTTGGGGGTTTGGGGGTTTGGGGTTTGGGGGTTTGGGGGGGTTTTGGGGGGTTTGGGGGGGTTTGGGGGGGTTTGGGGGGGTTGGGGGGGGTTTGGGGGGTTTGGGGGGTTTGGGGGGTTTGGGGGGTTTGGGGGTTTGGGGGTTTGGGGGTGAGTTGGGGGGATTGGGCGCAACTCGAAACCCCCCCCCCCCCCCCCCCCCGCAGCTTTCAAAAAAGGTTTTGGAGCAAGGGGACTCAAGGATTTTGGGATGGACCTCTAGACACTGAGCCCCCGAAGCCCTCAACCTTTTGAGCTAAAGATCCCTAAAGCCTACACCCCGACAAATCCTGACCACACTAAACCCTAAACTCGAAACCCTCAACCCCCCTCCGGCCGCAAGGGGGTTCTTCAGGAACAAAAATTAAGTTACCAGAGTGGGGAAGAAGAGCATCCCCTGTATGGTAACTTAGTGCACCGTACCAAGAACCCTAGTCTCGAAGCCACAAACCCCGGGTTTCGGGCTTCGGGTGATGACGGTTCAGCGCGCGGCCTCCTGCTGCAAAAGCCAGTCCTCGCGGGCTTTCGTCAGCAGCTGGCACCAGCGGCTGGCTGCCTCCCAGCTTCTTCTTGAGTTAGAGCGGATGTTTTTGCCGGGGGGTAATCTTCGGTCTTGCGTAGCAGACGAATTCGCTGAGGGTTGACGGCTGAAGTGTCTGAAGGTTTCGGGTTGAAGAACGGTTTCGGGCTTTTTGGGGCCCTGGGGCTACAGGCCGGCTACAGACCTGCTTCATAAAGGTCTATTCGGTGAAGCTGGGCCTGGGGCCGACTGAGGCTTGCCATCTGCAAGCTTTCATGACCCGGACTTTACCCTGGCGCTCCTGAATACTGGACAACGACACCATACGTCCAGCAGGGTTGAGTGTGCGTTAGTTTAGGGGTAAGAGTATCCGCACAGCAGCAAAGTCTCTGTTCGCTCAGGTGTTGGTACTGGACTGCTGCAACGAAGTCTCGGAACATGGGGCGCTGGGGATGCCAAGAGCTCCCTCAAAGGAAGTACTGCACTACCCCCTGTCTGCAATGATCTTGAGCTACTGCTGCGAAGAGCTCCAATGGCTCCAAGCATTGTGCAACCACCCTGAAACGCTGAACTGACCAAATCAAGACTTTAATCCCGGAATCACTTGAGTTACACACGCCTCCTCCGAGCGAAAGTGAAGGTGTAACGGGTCCCCTCAGAACGCAGGATGCCAATATGCGGAGACAGCATACCAGCGTTCCTCAAGGTCGAAAGGTATCGGCCCGGCTACACGTGACTTGTAGTGCCCCGGAGTCTTCTGAGCTGAACCACGCGCCCGTGAGGACGCCTTGCTATCACACTGATGTGAACACCCACTCGCGCTAGCTCACGTACCCACGGGACTATCGCAAAGACTTAGCCGCAAACTACCTTGTAGCGACAGCACATGAGGGTGTGTCACCTCAACACAGCAAATGTACATAAGCTCCGCACCGTCTCGGGGAACGACTTTGCAAGTGTCACCTTCACTCAGCACCTCGCGTGCAACGACACACCCTGAGGCCACAGGCTTTGGGAGCTACGTGTGGCCTTGGCGCACATCCTGAGGTCAAGTTGTTGACACCCCTGCAGGTCATCCGCACCCTGCACCCGCAAACCCGAAACCCAAACCCTGCTGAATGGAGCTCTTTCTGGTGCCTATGAGGTTCACTGCAGCTTTGTTGCACCCGCGGCCTCCGTATGGGTCAGGGGCACAACACGCTGCACTGTCCACCTGCCATCTGATGGGCTTCGGGCTTCGATGGGTGTTGGGCTCTCTGCTCCGGGGACTCCTGCTGAAGCGATTAAGCCTTCGACGCGTGATCGCTATACGTCCAACACACCAAGTGCCAAGGGCCCTTGGCTCTCAGCTTTCGGACTGTGAAAACCCGAGGTCCCCAAAAGCCCTCAACGCGAACTGCAGCAAATGCTGGGAAGCCGGCGGGTCGATGCAGGGCGTAGCTTGGGAGACGCCTCTCCAATCTTCGACCCACAAACGACTTGCAGGGATCCCACGGGATTCTGTTTCAAGGCTCAGGGAGCTGAAGGATTTTTCAGGTATGGCTTTGGAGGTTTTGGGGCATAGTTGTTTTGGAATTCGAGGGTTCTAGTGCTGGGGGGGTTCGAATATATACTTATCACTCAAAAAAACCATACTACCGATGTTTATAAAATATCTGCTTTATATAAATGTCCATATATGGCATGGGGGTGGATTCCCTTCCAAGAGCAACGTGCTGCGAGGAGCCCTCTTTTTGCTGCCTTCTTGACTTCTTGGCAGCTCCCATCTACCCAAGCCACTTGGGGGTTTACGGTATTGGGGGTGCCTTTTTTGGGGGTCCTTATTTTACGGGGATCCTACTATTTGGGGGATTTGATTGGGGGCCCCTTGTTCTCGTAAGCCCCCACTTGGCAACAAGCACGCGAGCACGGACAACAAGTGCACCGAAGGTTTCTGCACCGCCTGCTGACGCTGCCAGCATGGGCCGATACTTTCCATGATCGAGGGCAAGAGTGTGTGCGTTAGCGCGGTGGTGTGCGGTGGTGTGTAGCGGCGCGCGGTGGTGTGCGGCGGTGCGCGGTGGTGCGTGTGGTGGCGCGGTGGTGCGTGGTGGTGCGTGGTTGCCATTTTGGCTCAAGGCTCCCCTGCCCATGTGCGTCACGAGCGTTGGTTTGAGTTTTCAAGCATCGGTTTGGATTGCCAAGGAGTTCTGGCTGCTCACTCGCGAGCAGGTGAAGGCACGCGGCATGGGTACAGTCGTGGGATGTGGGGCATGCGACCTGTTGTTCACCCTTGTCTCTTGCCTTAGATTTAGCCCTTTGCGCAATGGACCCTCTTGTCCGCCGTCGGTTTGTACTTCTTACGTCTAGAGTCTAGGTTGTCTCCGTAGGTTCTCTGCCGGCAGGTGCTTCGTGTATTTGACTTCCAGAGCTTTGGCATGCTCACTGTATTTTCCTTTGAGATTCTCGACCTTGGTTTTTCGAACCGCGGTCGACTCTTTGGGCATGATGAGGCTCACTCCCGGAACTTTCCCCGTCACGGGGCGTGCAAGCCAAGGCCGCCGGCCTCGGTGGATGGTCCGGCTCCTTTGGCTCTTGCTCTCTGTGTGCGGGTGGGTGGCAAAAGCTAAGTCGTCTTGCAGGTTCGTTCGGAAGGCTCGAGGCCTTTTGCGCTGCGCTTCGTAGTTGGGTACACCGTGTTGGCGCGTCCAGGATTTCTCTGTCCGTGCGCATTACTCAGAGAAGCTGCATCCGCGCTCGGATATATACTTTGCACACCCACACTCAATTGTTGTGCAGTCACATTCAGAACGTTCCCTTGAGTTTCAACGCCAGGGTCACTGATACGCCGGAGGCCATTGATTCTGTCAGAGATTTGCGTGCGTCGCAGCGCGCTGCGTCTCTTTGCTGGCTGGCCATGCTGCTTGCAACTTTCATCTTGCAGCACTTGCATATCCTGCCCCATTTGCGCCAGTGCAACGCCGACGATGCCTTTCAAGTCCAGATATAATCAGCCGTTGTTCAATGGGCCCGAATGGTCCAGATTCTGCTGAGACCCGCCTCGGCCAGCATGTCCACGAGAGGCTGATTTCCTTTTGCCGCTTACTGAGTGTGTAACGTCTTGCAACACGGCAGGCAACTGGTATGCGACTCAGCGTTGCAGTCTGTGTGCGTTGCTCAACATGCTCATATTTGCACATGTCCCAATCATGCGCCTTGGTCCTTTTTTGCCTTTCTGAGCGCGAAGGCAATTGCTGCATGCCCTCATGATCAGATTCATTCTGAGTTGTCAGATGTAGACAAGGCTATGCTTGGGGACAATATCACTGCCCAGTACCCTGCCAACAATTGCGGCACCCAAGTCTGGATCGTTCGCAATCTCCCCAGCGTCGTCGTTCGGCTTGGGTGTCGTGATTTTTGTTTCAAGGGCACTAGTACGAAGGACGCGGCCTCGGCAACGCGACTTGTGCCATTGCGCGTGCAACTTTTGGTCAAGGTTGCGCCGCGGCGCTTGTTTAAATGTACACTTGGTGCTGGCTTGAGATGTGCTTCACGTGTTGCGCTGGCCGCTCTTGCGTTGACGTGTTGCGAAGTGCTGCGTTGTGAAGTTATACATGGTGTTGCGGATCGACTTTCTCCTGTTCTTGCACTAGCAGTCATGCGGAGTTCACGGCCTGGGCATTCTGCTGGGAAGGATGCCAAAGCAGAACAGGCGGAGAACAAGCAGCCCTCGAGTTCACCCTTCAACCCTTACACCCTAAAACCCTAAGACCCTGATAAGATCTACTAAGCATCTGAGAGTGGCCCCTAAGGCAGATCGAAGCTGGGGGGAGTTTTCTGTGGTAAATGGCGGAGATTGTGCGCCCCTTGGCGAAGAATTCTCGGGGTCTGAGGCACGGCGGTACGAACGCAAGCAGGAGGCTGAGCTCAGAGTCTAGGGATCCTTCAGTCACATCTTGGGCCTGTGCCGGGAGAGGCGATTGTTTGCAGCTCGTGTGATGGCTCACTCTGACCAGTTGCGTGCACGTGCGCTGGCAAAGCTGAAGAACATCATTTTGTTCGAACCCCGTGACTCTTCACTGGGCAGTTCCATGCTGGAGGGCAGCGGCATATTGATGCCTGCAGACCAGCAAGCTAGAATCTTGCAGGATGTTTATGCCATGCAATCCACTGCGACGCTCCTTAAGCACTCTTCTTCACGGACCATTTTGCCTTGGGTTGTTGAGCAAAACTCAGGGCAGGCCACTTCAGCACACGGAGGGAGACCTCACGCCAGGCCGACATGAGCCGGCTCTCGAAGTCGAACATCCTGCTGCGGCGGCCCGCGCGATCTCGGCGTACCACGTCGCCACGCCCCGCACGTTGGGCGTAGGCGTCTCCTGCACATGCTGCAGATATTGCAGCGATCGTGCGCTGGGGTCGCAAGCTGCCCACGCTGTCTTGGTGTCCTGAGTAAGGAGATTCTTGACAGCGTCTGCCTCTTCTTTGGGTATTGCGCGCACAGCAGCCTCAGTGGCATCGACGTAGTTCAGGAGGTGCCTGTTCGCAGTGACGAACAGAGTATCGCCGTCGTAGTCACCGCCACCTAAAGCCGTGATGCCGGCACCCCTCTCGTTGAGCAAACAATGGCGTTGTTTGGAATCGCCCACACTTCTTTGGGCCACGGCTTTGCAGTCCAGATCTGGAAGTCTGCTGGCCCGACAACCGGACTTCTCCAGACGACCACTGGTCCCGTGATGCACTGGCCTTGCGCAACGATGTAGCACTCGTTAGCCTGCTGTCAGGCGGCTGCACTCTCGCTCTCTCTCTTCTCGCTCTCTCTCGCTCTCTCTCTGTCTCTCTCTCTCTCTCTCTCTCTCTCTCTCTCTCTCTCTCTCCTAATAAGACAAAAAACTGTTCTGAAATCTATGTTCTGACAAAAAATGAAACTAAATGAGTATATATGTTCTTCCTGAATCAAATAAAAAAGGACCATTTAACATGAACCAATACATCCATAAAGAAACAAAAAGCAAAACAAAAACACTTAGAATGCCTTGTAGAACCCCGATACTTGACGCCAAACCCTGAAACCTATCAGGCTTCTGGAAGCGTACAAGGCACCGCCCAAGTGGCGCAGTGAATGCAGTCGCTGCACCGCCGGGTGCTCGCCTCCGAACAGGGGATCAGTGCTTTCCTGTCTTTGCAGGCCGGGACTTTGTAAAGCACCCTAAAGTTCAGCGCTCAGGGTTCCCTAACATCCGGAACCCTATGTCCTCAACATCCACAGAGGAATTGCCTTTGGCAAGGTGGCAGAGCAACAGGATGTTGCCTTGCAGCACCACCTTGCCATGCACGGTTCAGGTTAAGCCCCAAGCCCCAAAATAGCGCTGAGGGTTTAGAGCATCTGGCCGCACCATGCAAATTGCGAGTTTGTCAGGTTTGACCCCCTCCTCCACCCCTTATCCACCCTGCAAGGATTAGGATGCACTAGGGTTCAGGATCCACCCCGAATCCCACAGCCTCATGAAAACCCTGCGGCCACCACGGCTGCTTGCCGCGGAAAACGGACAAAGCGTGGGTCCGGGAAATGTTGCGGGCATGGACTGGGGCAGCGGGCACGGCGCTCTCTCTGCAGGAAGCAGAAGCATCCTGGCAACAGGTTGTACTTTGGGGCGTGGGTCCCTGAACCCTAAACCCTAAACCCTAAAAACTAAACCGTATACCCTAAACCCTAAACCCTAAACCCTAAACCCTAGACCCCAAACCCCAAACCCCAAACCCCAAACCCCAAACCCCAAACCCCAAACCCCACCCTACTCAACCCTGCTTCGGGATCATCGGGAGCTAGGGTTTTGTAGTACATGTTTGGGCTCGGGGATGCTTTCAGACCCACTCCGCATGGAGGTCTCCAGGATGCGCCGGGAAGCGTTTAGGGCTTGGCGCTTGGTGTTGTGGGGGTTTGGGGTTTCGGGGTTTGGGGTTTGGGGTTTAGGGTTTAGGGTTTAGGGTTTAGGGTTTAGGAGCTGGAGGGTTCTGAGTAAACCCTCTGCCTTGCAGCCTCGAAGTGTTGCAGAACACTTCAGGAGCTTGACCAAACTGTCTTGTGACTGGGGTTAAGGCTTAAGGCTTAAAGGCTTTGCTTGAAGCCACAGACTGTGGTGGTTTTCCCTGTCTCCTGGCACGATCCCTGGTCAAGGCTGCTGCGATCCAGAGAACATGCGAATCTCAGCTTTGGGCTCAAGGCTTGAGCTAACCCTGATACCTTGGGATGTTCCCCCTCCTATACTAACAGTCTTTAACAAGAATTACCCTAAACCCTAAACCCTAAACCCTAAACCCCAGGATGATCCCTTGAAGAAACACTGGTACAAAGCACGGGTGGGGGCAGGAGCCTTGCCATGGCCACCCGCCCACGCGCACCTGGTTTAGGGTTTAGGGTTTGGGGTTTAGGGTTTGGGGTTTAGGGTTTGGGGGTTTAGGGTTTAGGGTTTTAGGGTTTAGGGTTTAGGGTTTTAGGGTTTTAGGGTTTAGGGTTTAGGGTTTTAGGGTTTTAGGGTTTTAGGGTTTTAGGGTTTTAGGGTTTAGGGTTGTAGGGTTGTAGGGTTTAGGGATTTAGGGTTTAGGGTTTAGGGTTTAGGGTTTAGGGTTTAGGGTTTGGGGTTTGGGGTTTAGGGTTTAAGTTTAGGATTTAGGGTTTAGGGTTTAGGGTTTAGGGTTTAGGGTTTAGGGTTTCGGGTTTAGGGTTTAGGGTTTAGGGCTTTCAGGGGGTTCGAATGCGAAGAGACACGGATGGCTCCCAGGATCCACGACTGAATGGGTAGGATCACCCCACATTCTTCTGGTGGTGTAGACCTTCAGACTTAGGGTGAAGATGCTCGCTGAGCGTGGGACGACTGTGCTTTCAGCCTCGAGGGTCATCTTGAGGCGCTGACATCACCTCAAAGAGTCGCAGGATATGAAGTGCGCAGATTGTCCAAATACACCCCTACACGTTTATGATTTTCAAGAAATTTAAGGCATTGTGTTCAGGGGAGGAACACCCTTAAGACTATGGCTTGTTGGAGCCTGAAGCCATGGATATAGGGTACCGGGACCCCTCTTGGGAAGCAACCTAAATGCGGAACAAGAAGCTTGTCAGTCACAGCAGCATGTCACCATCGGCTCCGCGCGGAACACCCATGATTCACCAAGATAGACACATGCACAGTAGAAGAAAGAAGGATACATTGGTCACCATCAACTTGCTCTGGATAGTCAATGCCTGCGAGCGTGGGCAACCTAACCAGTTTCTAAGGCATCTGAAGGCCAACATTCTGAACATTTGTAGTGGAGGTTCTCATGGTCTCTCTGCGGAACGATGATATGTCTTTGGAGTGGAATGCGTGGACCGCACATGCCGGGCGAACTCACTGTCAAGCTTCTCGACATTTTTTCGACCGCGCTGGTCAGGTCTCGATCTGTTCAGTCCTGTTGTGCTGCTGTTGTGCTGCAATTTTTGTTGCCTCTCAGCCCGCCGCCCGCGTGATGGGCCCGTGGAAGCTCCGGGCGTCTGTGTCGACATGGTCGGCGCGGGCTCGGTCGCGCCGCCGCTGGAAGGACTCCTTGCTCCGGCGCTGGATCTTTGCAGCGGCCACCTTCTCCAGCATTGAAAACTCATTCTCCCCGTCTTTCACCTCCTTCTCCCTGCGGACTGCATGGTGGACCTGGGACGTCCGTGACAGGAGGCTGCTGTCCCCCAAGGCTTCCTGGATGTGCTTGGTCTGACGTGCTTCCAGCGCCAGGATCTCGGCCACGGCCATGTCCGGATCGGTCTCGCCGCGCACCATGGCCTCCAGAACCTCCACCTCCCGCACCCGCTGACGCCGGTCCTGAAGAGGGAGGAAGGTCGTGTAGGGGCCCCCGGCAATCAGGAGCCGGCGGAGCACCGCGCGCACCGCCTGGACCAGTCGCACGCGGCCGTCGGCACGGATCTGCAGGCCCAGCGTCCGGACGTACTGCAGGTTGTACATGGACCACATGGCCTCGGAGGCGTTCATGTCGATGGTGCTGCGGGAGTCCCAGCGGGACTCCGGGATGCACTGGCCCTTGGAGGGCTGCTGCGCGCTCATGAGCTCCTCCACCGTCTCATCGATGAAGTCCAGCGCCTTGGGCAGGGCCACGAGCATGGTGTTGAAGGGGTCGTACTTCTCCCAGTTCTCCAGGCACTTGTTGATCACCTCCTTCAGCTCGCTGCCCCGGCTCTCCTCGAAGCCTTCGAAGATCACGGCGATGAAGAGGTTCAGGATCACGAAGCTCACGAAGATGGTGTAGGAGATGAAGTAGATGAAGGCCAAGGACGAGCCGCACTCCGTGGGATGGTCCACCAAGCCGTCCCCATTCCTATACCCCGAACTCGGAATCCCAGCAAAAACTATAAATTTGTTGCTGTTTCTTAGGAATTTTCTGGTACCTAAAGATTATTAAACATTCTTTTTTAATTGCCCCTAAGATTCAGGTCCAGGTCTGCGAAGGCTTGGCTCTCCAGATCCAGCTCAAAGCACTTCTTCTCCAAGATGCTCTCGTAGTAAAACTGGGACTTGCTCAGGTCGTGCATGATCTCATTGAAGCCCTCGCCCGTCATGGAACGGATCAGCAGGGAGATTGCTTGGAAGAAGCTGCGGAAGTTGGTCTGAGGGCCGTAGATGCCCGTGCCTGTATAGGACACTTTGGCAAAGAGGCTCACACCCAGCACTGCGTAGAGATACAGAAGCAGGACCATCAGGAGGCCCACGTTCAGCAGCTTTGGCACTGACAACACGAAAGCCAGCAGCAGCTTGTTCAGGCCCTTGAGGAACCGCACCAGGCGGAAGAGCCGAGCCACGCGGAAGACGCGCAAACAGCTCACCAGGGCACTCAGGTTCACGGTGCTGTTCGAGAGAATCGCCTCAATAATGGCAACCACGTCGCTCGACATCACACACATGAAGTCGAAGACGTTCCAGGGCTCCCGGAAGTAATTGCAGTGCAGGGCACTGATCTTCAAGAAGCATTCTACATGGAAGATGATGGTGAACACGAAGCCACAGGTGCTCAAGAATACCTCCCATGAGCCATTCCTCTCCCTCGGTTGCCACACCATCATTAGCACGCCGAGCTGCATCACAATGCAAACCATGATGAAGTTCTCAAAGGCGCTTGAGGTGATTATCCTAAAGCGATGTTGTCGACTTGGGCCGAGCCGATCCACATTCACTTGTGTGAAGAAACTTTTTCGGAGGTAGAGGGCCTTCATCTGGGTCATCCATGCTGCTTGCGTCTCTGTCACAAGGACGTAGCCCGAGTCGCTGGCGGTCTTCTGCTTGTTGTAGTTGTCGATGATCACGCCCACACACAGATTCAGCACAAAGAAGCTTCCGATGAGCATGAAGGCCACAAAGAGCAAGGATCCGATAAACTCGTTTGCGTCCCGCCTGGGCTGGAGGTATGGCCCTCGGCTGTCGACAGCCGCCAACATAACGTCCACCCAACCTTCTGTGGTGCTGATCTCGAAAAGCGAGATGGTGCCGACAAGCAAATTATCGAAGTTCTGGTTCATGTTCACCCATTTCCCCCCTTGCTCTGTGCAGAGAGCAGCGTCTTGGATCAGGCCCCAGCAATGGTCGCGGCACGTGCAAGCCGCAACGCACTGCTCCAGGCACATTGCACGCTCCGAGCCGGCCGCTGCGTGCATGCAGAAGTACTCGTGTCGGGCACAGGACTGGACGCAGCCAGCATGCTGCGCCGACTCCTCGGGTGCAGAGCAGAAGGCTGTGCTGCAGTCCGTGCAGCGCATCACATGGTAGCCCCAGGGCTGTGTCGAGTTCTGGCAGTGAGCATGGCTGGCACCATCACAATGCACCTCGCAGATGGGCGTGTCAGCAGAGGGTCGCTGCCACGACTCCGAGCCCGATGCACACCCAGCATCGGGACGCTGGACCAAGAACCCTGTAGTACTCAGGTTGCCTTCCTGGGCAGCTTCCACGCAGAGGGGCGTCACGGTGAGACTCTGGAAGCTGTGGTCCTCCAAGTCCTTGTCCTTGCAAGAGTGGTAGGAGCCTTTGAGATTCCCCACGGCGAGCAGGCCAAAGATCAGGAAGAAGAGGGAGCTGAAGACCAGGAGGTTGCGGAGTTCCGGCACGGCGGCCAAGATTGTCTTAACCACGACCTTGAGGTTCTTGTTCCTCGAGATGAGACGCAGGGGCCGCAACATCCTGACCACACGGAAGATCTTCATCACCGCTATAACGCCACCACTCGTCCCTCGGAGGAACCAAGTCTGGATGGCATCCAACACAGACACGATGACGATCACGAAGTCCAGAGCATTCTCAAAGGATCGCAGATAAGCCTTCGACCGCCCTTCGGGGTCAGAGCAGACCACGCCTAGGGCGATCATCTTGACCACCAGCTCGAAGGCAAAGATGCATGTGAAGATCGTGCTCAAGACCTCCAGCACCCGCACCTGCAAGCTGCTAGGATCGAGCAGCGGGTTCTCAAAGGCCATGAGGATGGAGGACAGGACGATGAAGAACATGATCACTTGGTCAAAGTGACGATGCTTTGTCAAAGACAGGCAGGCTTTGCGAAGCCCGGTATCCCGGGCGAAGAACAGGCACGACCTTGTGCCGCAGAGCGTTGCACATGCGATCTCTTGGTCATGCCAGTCCAGCCGCGAGGTCAAGGCCGACAAAGACATCCGTGTTCGCTTTGTGGTGGCGCGCCGGCTTCGGCGGGGTGTCGGTGGTGCTGCACTTCCGCTCTGTGCTGGCGCTGGCACCACGGAGATTGCTTGGGCTGGCCTGGGCTCTGGCTCATCCGACAGCTGCAGCCTCCCTGGGAGCTCAGGGTTCTCTTCCCATGCACGGCGCGGGGCTTCTGGAGAGTCTTGAAGGTTCTCTCCTGGGACGATGGCCGCCTCCTCTGAGTCTGTCTCAAGGGCCCTGAGGAGCTCCCGCTTGCTGGCCATGGCCGCATGCAGCTTTGAGCGCTGCTCATCAAAGTTGCTCATCAAGATGGCCAAGAAGAGGTTCAGGATCACGAAGTTCCCGAAGATGACCACCAGGAGGAAAAACCAGATCGCCATCCAGCCGGTGGCCCGCATCCCGTCGTACATCACGGTATTCCAGTTCTCACCTGTGAGGATCTGGAAGATGGTGATGAAACTCCACAGGAAGGTGTCGAAGTGCGCCCTGGGAACACACACTGGCTTGTCTCCATCACCCATGGGGCAGCGACTTCGATACTCATCTTGGGGCACCAAGCTGCCCGTGTCTGGGTCAAACATGAAGGTTCCCCCGAAGAAGCTCTGCGCCATCAGCGCGAAGACGCAGAGGATCAGGAAGAGCAGCGCGACGAAATCTCCCATGCTCATCAGGGTCTTCACGCCGGCACTCAGGAGGATCTTCATGCTGGGGAACTTCTTGGCCAACTTGAAGATTCGGAGCATTCGGAAAGCTCTCAAAGCGGTGATCGCGGAGCCACCACTTTCTGCACCGGATCCCAGGTCATTTAGAATGTCCACCACGGAGAGGATGACGATGACTCCATCGAAGGCCATGGCATTGTCTTGCCAGTAGACCAAGGGACCGAGCGCCAGGTGCAGGATGACGCACTCCAGCAGGAACACGATGTTGAACACGTAGTTGAGCACATCACCGACAGATGACTCAACCAGGTGCTCTGGATATCGATCCATGGCAAGCACCAGGACGTTGATCAGAATCATGGACATGACGCCAGCGTTGAAGACGGCGTTGGTCGCCAGGATGCGGGACCATCTCACCAGTTTCCAGCCGCTCTCCTCTTGCAGCACTTCCTCCGGGTCGATGAGATTCCGCGTCACAAAGAGGTGCCTCAGGACATCCTTGCACGTCCAGCGGTCCAGGGCGGTGATGCCACGGCTGGGGTCCTGCAAAGCGCTGAGCTGCAGATCCTCGGAAATCGCCCTCTCGGCCTCCGCTTCCTCCTCCTCCTGCTCTTGCAGCTGCCTCTCCCTAACACTCAGGAAGACATCCCAGATGATGGCCAAGATCACGTTCACCAGGAAGAAGGCCCCCAAGACGATCAGCAGCAGGAAGTAGACGAAGCCCGCCACGGTGGACTGGGCATCCTGGACCATGCCCATGATGTCGGACCACCCCTCCAGCGTCACGCTCTGGAAGACGACCAGGAAGGCGGCCGCCACGTTGTCGAAATGTGTGAGCCCCCAATTCCGACCTTCCCCGGTCACCTCTTGGTCCCAGTTGTTGAGGTTCACGCCCGCAAGCTCTGGGTTCACGACTTCCGGCCCAAACTCTTGGTCGCTGGCTAAGGGGGAGCCGCAGAAGGTCAGCACCTCGTTACCTTGAACGGAGCCCAGCAGTTGCAACACGGGGTCGACCTCGGAACTAAAGGGGTAGCGTTCACAGGCGTGCTCTCCGCAGAACCTCTCCTGCTCTGCATCCAGCGGCCAGAGGTAGTAGTCCTGACCCGACCTCCAGGCATTCAAGCAGTGCGAGTTTGGGCGGCAGTACGCTTCAAAGACCAAGGAGGAGTTGATCATGGAATTGGACACACTGACCAGGGAGGCATCGTCAAAGCACCAGCCCTTGCAGGTTCCTGAAGCAGCCTGAGCGCTGAAGTGGAGTGGCTGGGCCGTGAGTCGGCAGCTTCGGTGCAAGAGTCCGCTCCAGAAATGAAGCCCGAGGACACCAAACATCACCAGGAGGAACACGGCGAGAAGCACCACGTCCTTGAGCCCAGGGAGGGAGAGGATGATCGTGCGGAAGAGATGCCGGATCCCTGGCACAGCTGAGAGCGATCGGAGAGGGCGAAGCACACGCGCGGGCTTCAAGAAGGAAAATGCCTCTACCTGCATGGCCCCGAGCAGGCCCACCACGACCACGGTAAAGTCGACCCAATTCCAGGGATCCCGCAGATAGGCACGCGAGTGGGCAACGAAGCCAAAGGCCACGATCTTCATGGCACATTCGACCGTAAAAAAAATTGTGAAAGCAAGCTCGGTGTCTCTTTGGAGGATGTTACCCCAGTAGTTCTCCTGATCGTAGTAGTAGTTCTGCACCGCCAGGACAAAGCTGTTTGCAACGATTAAAAGGAGGATGAAGGATTCGAAAATCCACGAGGAGGTAATGTCGATTGCAGCACGGCGAATGAGCCAGTCCCTATGGATGAAGCCCAGCGACTTCACACAGAAGGGGCTGAGCACCGTGGTCTTCGCCCTCCGCTGTGCTGAGACCGCATGGAACCAGGGGCCATCCACCATCAGGGCGTTCAGGCTAATGATGCCCTCAAAAGCCAGCCTTGCCAAGGCGTGCTCCACGGAAGTCCACAAGTTGTCCCGCAAGGTCTGGAGCTGCAGGATCTCCTTCTTCAAGGCCACGGCATCTTCCACCTCACTGCGGAGCGTCTCCAGCAGGATCTCCATCTCCGCCAGCGACTTCGTGCTGCCTTGCTTAACCAAGTCCGTCCTCGTGCTCTCGGGGCCGCTTGGGCCCTGAGGGCCCTGAGGGCCGCTCGGGCTGCGGGGGCCCTGGCTTGCGTTGCTCGGCACCTGCGTCAGCCGCTCGCCCTCGCTGCCCTCGTCGTCCATGTCCAGCTCGGTGACGGTGTTTCCAGCGGCTTCACTGAACTTGGTCCCGACGATGGCAAAGGGCATGGCGATGATCAACATGCCGGTGACCATCGTGACGCTGGCAATCAGCTTCGAGGTCCAGTGCTTCACGTGGATGTCGCCATATCCCACGGTGGTCATGGTCACTGCAGCCCACCACATGCCTGTAAGAACCGAGTCAATGTCCAAATCGTGCATGGCCTCCACCTTCCATTCGGATCCGGCCGCCGTGGTCGCCCCCAACCATGTACCCTGGCAAAGTGGGAAGGGGCCGGCAGCTGTTGGCATGTTGTCACACATGTATGCACAGCAGGGCCCGAAGCTGACGACCCCGAGCCGAGAGTCTTCACACTCCGCATTGTAGTCCTGAAACTGCGTGAGGTTGGCCAACGCGAAATCTGGACAAGCAAGCTTCTCCGTAAAGTAGATGGCAGAGGCAAAAGTCACCAAACCGATCACGAAGAGGAAGATGAGGACGTAGAGCGCCGACAGGCTGTTAAACAGCGCGGCATTCATCATGCGGACGCCTTGCGAGTAGTGGCCGATCTTGAAAAGCCGCACCACCCGCAGGACGCGGAGGAAGTCCAGGTCTCCTTGCCGGACGATGATCTGCGCATAAACAGGCAGAATGGCTAAGAGGTCGCAGAGGTTCAGCGGTTTGAAGAACCAATCGACGGCAGAGGCTCCGAAGACGTCGCAAACCCACAATCGCAAGACATATCCCAAGGTGAAACAACCCGTCGTGACGATCTCAACGCTGTGCCACATTTCCACAGAGGTGGTCGTACGGAACGCCGGCGTGGTCTCCATGACTAGGCTCACAAGGGACAACAGGATCAGCATCACGTTGAGGCCGGCCACCCCTATGGTCAAGACTCTCGGGACGTCAGAGCTGGCATCTGGCTCCTCTAAGATCCAGTAAAGCGACCTCCTGATCTCCTGAATGCTCTCGGGATAGATTGAACTGCCCGAAACCTGCCTGTGATGATTCCGCATCTCGCGAAGGTGATGTCCGAAGTGCTTCGGCATGGCGCACGACGCATGCGCCGCAGAATGCAGCAAGCGTCCATGCAGGAAACTACGAAACTACGGACTGTTGCAGATACCGAAGGATTAGTACTGTAATTCCTGCATATGTTTGCTACAGCTGGAGACACCCCAAAAAAACCTTCTCAGAAGGCTCCGGGCTCGAACGGCTTAGCCGGCAACGAGCGCAGAAAGCCCCGGGACGCACCCCGCTTCAAATTGAAACGCTGCGGATTTTTGGCCATGCACACGGTTCAGACCTTGAAGATTCGCATCATCTGCATGCTGTCACGCGCCATGATATACTGCTAGATGCCCGAGAACATTCTGAGAAACTGCTGCAAGATTCTACCGCGCGTGCTATACAATACTAAAAACTCCGCAAAACACACACACACACACACACACACACACACACACACACACACACACACACACACACACACACACACACACACACACACACACACACACACACACACACACACACACACACACACACACACACACACACACACACACACACACCACACACACACACACACACACACACACACACACACACACACACACACACACACACACACACACACACACACACACACACACACACACACGCGCGCGCGCGCGCGCGCGCACACACACACACCCGCGCACACACACACACACACACACACACACACACACTGGGACGACCCTCGAGAGGTTAGTAGGTGTTCACACATGCCAATCATGTTCCCCATGTCGCGGTGGAGCCCTGTGTGAGGGTTCAGAATCACTGCGAGGGAAGTCCAGTTTCCGTCTGGGAAGCGATCTTGCAAGAAATGGTTGACTGCGACACATGCTTCTTTCATGGTGGATGCTTTCGACATGCAAGGGGCGTTGCCACCAAAAGCATACAGTCCTAGGGTGCAGTCAATGTCAATGCTGCGGAGCTGTATTTCTGCGAGCTCGGCAAATTGCAATCAGCGAGTGAAACTGCAGGTACGTCTGGCTGATCAGGCCAGATTTCAGCACGAACACTTGACTCTCTTCGTTGGGTCACCAGTCAAGGTCGTGGGTGACCCCCCTGCTTTTGCACCAGAGACTCCTGATGAAGTTGCCTCTTCAGAACTCTTTGTCAACAGAGCGTACACACACAGGTGCCCCTATGATGGGGTAGCATGAATCATGTCGGGCTTCATGTCAGGAATCTGCTGGCAATTCTCCGAATTTGCGAAATCGGATATCCCCGAGAGGAATACAGATTGACAATCTCTTGAACGTCTGCCTGTCTCTGAGATTCAGGAAAGCTGAATCTGGCAGCCATGCAAATGCGACTGTTGGCTGCAGCAAATTTGTGTTCATCACACCCAGCTGAATTCAGCGGTCTGAAGAAATGCAACGCAGAGGGCAACAAAAGCTTGACAACGCGGCTGGCTTCACACAGTGTCGTACCAAGAAACTCACCATCCGGAACAGTCTCCAACTCAACAGGTGTATTGTAAAAGTCCAACTGCAACAACTGTCGTAGCCATGTGTGTTCATGAAGATGTTCGGGATACAGCACGAGTCGGTTGTCCACATAACGATTGATGTAAATCTGGCTCAAGAACCCAGCGATTTTGGCTCGATTTGTGTCTATCCAGGTTTGCTCGGTGTGTGCAACAGCAACGCTTGCAAGCACTGGGCTGATCTGGTTACCGATGGCCGATCCTCGGACTTGTTGAAAAACCTGACCCATTTGAGTGAACACCGAGGTTTCTAGCGACATGCGACACAACGCAGCAAGGTCAGTAACGTCAATCGTGTACGCTCTTCCTGAAAGTGCTTTTTTCTTCCCTCGGAAAACTCGGAGCTTGACGTCCTTTTCTCTGGGAAAAATAGTGAATACATGAGACTGCTTGTTGGGGTACATCTCCTTGTACTTTGCCACCATGGTTTGAACGGAAGCAAGAATACGCTCTGCAGGAATGGAAGTGAAAAAGCCGATGAGATCCTGATTGGATTGCAGTATGAACTCTTCGACTGGTGTGGTACGAAGGAAGGAATGCAACTCTTGGAACATCTCTGGCATCGTCTTCAGACCGAAGGAATCAGGAAAAACCTCGTTCTGCATCGTCAATAACACGAAGGAAGTGCATCTGAAGAGCTTCGCAAAGTGGAACGCCCGATATGAGATGATAGGGCGGGCTTTAAGAAAGTTCTTCTTGGCTTTCAGCAGGATGTAACTGTTGGGAACAGATGCTGCAGAGTCAACGCCCCATCTGTACTTTTTGGCCAATTTGCTGTGACAAAAAGTGCGAAGATGTTCGGCAGCTGCTGTGGGCGTCATGTTGAGGTGGTTATACACCTGTTTGTCCGCAAAAGTCTGCGTCAACACATGATGATATAGCCAAGGACAAAAAACATGAACATGTTGAGCTGCATGATCTCGTCCGTGCACCACTAGCTGTTGTAGCTCCGAACGAAGGAAATGTATGTCCTGCATCGATAGAGGTACTCGTGCTTCTGGATAATGAAGAACCCATTGCTGCTCCAAAAAGGCTTTCCAATCCTGGGAACTTACTCCGCCTAGTTTGTTGTGCTTCAACCATTTGCTGATGGCATTCCAGGTCATGCGGACGTAGTCTTCGAAATCTGGATAAACCTGAGTTTTGGCATTGACCGACAACCAGAACTTGATACGGCGACTGAACTGCATCTTCGAGGCTTCAGACGCAATGCGCTCACGACCGTCAATCGTTACGACAGCAAGTTCAGGGTGTTTGCGTCGTAAGTCTGAACACGAGCATATTGGAGGTGATTCCCAAACAAACTTACGCATCCACTGGAAATGACTGTACAACGTGGTCGAAACGGAAGGAAACTTTCCTGCAACGATACTGCAGCAGGGCAGGTGAAACGGAATGAGCTGATCCTTTCTGGACATGACTATCTTCCGTAGCCATCTCTTAGCTTGCACTTTAAAATGTTTGTGCGCAAGCAGTGGTATCACCAACGGTTTGGCTGCTGTCGGAATCGGTCCGTTTCGGAAGCTGATCGCATTCTTTATCAGCTTTCTCACTTTGGACCTGGGAGGGTCTTCTAATGAATTAGCCAGGCGAAGCAATGCATACAACTGATCGATTGAAAATTTGCACGTTCGCAGTTCTTTGGACTGCTTGAAGGATGTAGAATCGGATTTAGCAAGTCGAAACAGAATGCACCAATTCGTGTCATTCTGAAAGAGATCGTCGGAATATATATGCAGCTTCATTTGTCCGAAAAGTCTTTTCCGGAGCTTTCGGAACAGTCTTGACGCCGGCATCTTGTAAATGGTGGAAATTTGATGCACGGCTTTGGACATACCTGTTTTCTTTTTTGTGGGCAACAACTTCATGACGAAAGGAAAGTTCAGCTTTGGTACCCACTTTTGAATGCAGCACGCTTCAAGGGTGCGACATTGCAGTAGCGAATTGCACGCATGCAGGGGAATGATCACAAACTCGTGAATGCAACCACGTGAGTGAAACCAATGCAAGCACAGCTCCGATGACACAGGCTGATTCTTCTGAAGCTGCTTGAACTTTCGAATTCTGGCATCCTGCCTTTTGTTGGCGCTTGTGACTGTGCTGCCAACGTATGTCAAGCAATCAAGTTGAAAAATTGGCGCTTTCGAGTCATTTAAATACTCGAACGCTGGCCGTAAAAGACAATATGTTGTGTAGTTGCACGCGAACTTTTCGCATACTTTTTCAAACGTGAACTCCGATGGCTTCCAGTATTGTGCAAGACGACAGCGCCAAGCGCGCACCCGGTTAGAATGATCATTCACAAACAAAACAGCAACCAAACACGAGAAGGCACAAAGAGACCGAAGGGCAACGCGAAAACGCCAAATATCCGGGCAATGCGTGGCAGCTTCTAAAAGCGTCTTGCTGACTTCAAAAATCTCTACGGTGAACTTTGGCAACTGTCTGCGTAGCGACTTTCTGTCTGTTTGCAACCGATCAGATAGTCACTCGGCTAAGGCAATAGCACTGCAGATGATTTTCACAAGTTCTGTTGTTTTAGCTTTGGACGCTAAGCTAATGGGTAGGCCGTACGCTGCTGCTTTGTCTGGGAGCTGGTTGGCATCCGGCTTGGGCAACTCTTTGACTGCTTTCTGGATGCCTTTGAAAGCTCTTTCGAGCCTGGATCTGGTATCCTTGGAGATTGGAAGGCTCTTAACCCACTTGTCCACAGCCGTTGGTGTTATGGCATTGGGGCTGTTGCTGGCTAGTGTTCGGGCGACAGGCTCTGTGTCGAACGTGGTGGCTGCTGTAAGGAAGTCCGTTGGTTCTGCAACCGGTAGCTGTTTGTCAAACCCTCTTGCTTTGGCTTTAGCGGCTTTGTGTTGTTTGGCTGGAGGAAGGTCTTGCGAGCTTCCTGGCACTGAACGTGTGTCGGCTTGGGCGTCGTCAGATTTCCTTTTCTTTCTCTCATCGGCCAGCTGCTGTTCGAGGGCTTCGATACGGCTTTGGGCTGCTTCAGCTTCTTGCAGTTGAAACGATTTGATCGTGCCCATGAGCATGTCGACGAAGTGGTCCATCTGCTTCTTCTTTCTAATGTTGTCATTGCTGGATTGTGTATCCAGCTTGTTGTTTTGTTTGCAGAACTCATGCGCGATCTGGTCAAGGTCGATTTTTTGTTCTCGAATTTTGCTCTGCAGTGCTGTGAAGAACGTTGCTTCTTTGACTGATCTAGCAAAGATCAGCGATGTGAATCTGCCGTTGGCTAGTGCTCGGAGATGGAAATTGTCCCATCCTCTGTACGCAAGCTCATGTAAGCCAAGTGTTCGAATGTCTCTGCCAGCTAATCCGTGCTGCGACGCCCAGGCTGAACCAAAGATACGATCGGGAAACTTGAGGCCGAAAACTTCGTTGCTGTCGTGGTAGCCTTTGCTTTGCTTGAAGGTGCGTGGGAAGTCAAGGTCCTGCTGGTGCCCACCTTGCGGTGACGGCATGTCCTCTGACCGTCTGTTTGCTTCACGCTGTGGTGTT